TTGCTATATGGGTAGTTATTGAGCTTTTACCCTGTCAATGTTTCAAGGTTTCAGGGAATTAGTTGAGATGCGTGCAAATTAACCTTACCCTCCCGGTCATCAAAAAAAAAAAAAATTGTGATCTCAATTCTCAATGCGATAAAATGAAGGTCTTTTGCTTAATTCAAATTCAATTCTCTGTTTGTGAAGTTAAAGAACTAGAAATTCTTGAAATATTTGATTGAGGCGTTTCTGTTTGTTTTAGTTCTGACTTACACAAACAATAAATGATTCCAAAAAACATTGTCATTTTTTTCTTGAAAGGAAACAAAGAGAAATTGTTTATTGATAAAACAAAACAAGTCCGTTTGTTTCATTATTTCCTATCCTATTTCCTCCTATCCTTAAAATAACTGTTTGTTTCATTATCCTCAAAACCTATTATATTTTTCTCAACGTTTTTAAATCCCTTAGTTTATTAATTTAACTAAACACCCTCAGAAAAAAGTTTAAAAATTAACAAAAACACCCCCACCCACCCACATTTCAGATTCCGGCCCCCACCGTCGGAAGGTGGCCAGAATCTGGTATAATGGCACTTACCCCACCGGCTGGATCTAGGTGGTAGTGTGCCAATCTGGCCTTTTCCGACCAGATCTGTGGTGGATCTGGCTAGAAAAGGTCATATTGGCACACAAACGGCCAGATCCGGTCGGTCGTGCACCGTAACTCCAGATTCCAATGGTGGTGGCCAGAATTTGGCAACTGTAGGTGGGAGTGTTTTTGTCATTTTATAAAAATTTTATATATTGGGGTGTTTAGTAAATTAGCAAACCTAGAAGGGTGTTTTTGTTAATTTTTAAATCTTACCTCGTTATTCCCACCCAACTCTAAAAATATCAAAAATCTTATCCAAAATAATGAAATAAACGGACCCAAATACGATGGTTTTAACAAGTACTACTTGAATGTACAACATAAACAAGTGCAAGCTGTTGATCTTTTGATTATAGCCCTTCCTCTGTAAACAGAACTGGAAATACAAATAGTTGTATTCCAATACACATATGGTGGTTTTAACAATTCTTGGGGCTTCACTCAATCCCACTTTTATACTTGTAAAGCTGCCAATCTGCTAAATGCCACACCAAATGATATTTACTTGTATAAAAAATTGTATCAATTAAATGATATATGAGAATCGTTAGGGTTTAGGATTTAGGGTTTAGCATTTTTGCCTCAATATCATAGTATTGTACCCTTGGTTTATATGGATAAAAGGGTCATACAAAATTAGTTTTGGGTAACCAAGGTGTTCGGACTAATTTGTGCATATCTCAACTAATCATTGGAGTCTATTGAACACCCTACAAACCCAAAAGATCAGATAAGCCACAATATTATTGTTAATGATAGTTAGATTAGATTTGATGGTGTCGATATTTGCCAATCCACCTTTTTGTTATTAATTTAATAAAATAAGTTATCTAACAATTTTCTACAAAGAGAGGGAGTAAACGTATCATGTTTTATACAATGCATCAGTAAATTTCTCATATGATAATAATTTTTAGTAATAAATTAGCATCACATCTTATACTCGGTTTCATTTACTTTTTTGATAAAGGATTTATTTTATACACCCCACTGCAGGATCATTTTGTCTTGTACAGACACCTATAATTTTCGAAAGATGTGATTTCGCACCAATGAGAAGTATGCTGGTGAGGTTCGCGCAAGGGTATGTGAGACCGAAAATATGATACTGAACCAATGAGAAAATAAGAATAATGCCAATATAAATAAAATGAATTTTTAAAGTGGTTCGTGTAAAATACAATCTTACTTCACTGTTATCTTATTACTTTACTTGTGTGTTTTTAATGTGTTTATAATTCTATTTGCTCTCAAATGAGCAATGTTATCGTTATTGAGGGAAATGAATTTTGAATTTTTTTCTTTAAGGTAAGAGACCCATTTATATTGTTGCATGACGACTTGCTCATGAAGTAAGCCTCTCATGGCCTAACATGGCTGCCAAATCGCTCTTATCGAGAATTACTAGTAAAACAATCCTTTTATGGAATGACACGCGACCTGGATGACAACTCAACCTAAACCTTCCTGTTGAAACAACCTATGACAACCTTATAAATGAAGTAATCCTTCACAGTGACATACGACTTGGACAGATGCACCGTCACAGAACACTTGATGAGAACTTATACTCAAATTGCATATTCATAGGCACCATGGCATAGTTCATGCCTCACGAAATTAGACATGACAAAAGTTATTAAGAACCTCTCTTGAGATAAAGATTTTAATAATTCAATGGGATTATTTAATAATTAAACTAATATATAAGGGTTTTGATAACGAAATTAGGTAATCTTCCGGCAACTCCTTCGCCGTGATGTCTTCAAACTATTGTAGAAGCTCTCCGATTCGTCCAGGAAGCGTTGCTGGGGGTACGTCATCTTTTGCCACCAAGGCATAGAGTCGTCCCGTCCCTCAGCCTTCTAGCGGACGAAATACGCGTTTGTCACTTCTATGAGTCGAATGGGGAGTCTTTAGGATAAGCGAAAAAAAATTCCTGTTCAGAATGACATGACAAAAGTTATTAAGAACCTCTCTTGCGATAGGAAGATTTTAATAATTCAATGGGATTATTTAATAATTAAACTAATATAGAAGGGTTTTGATAGTTTTTCGACAAGTTTATGAATGCTTTAAAACAATCCGTTTCTGTTTCTGGCAGAAAGTCGGATTATCAATATGTTCTGGATTATAGCTTTGGTTCCAATTCCACCCACAAGGTGGGCTAATTCACATAATGGGGCAACAATGTTGATCCACATCTACAACCCAGCTTTCAACCTTGAGACATATGGGGCAATTAATTTTGGTCACAAAGATGAGTTTGGGTACATCTCGCACACACATTTCCTTTCTGTTTTCAAGTCAATAATCCAACTCATTTTTTTGCCTACTCTCATATTTATCTTAATTTACTTTGACCAACCAAATTTAATAAACGCCATAAATCTTAAATATTCGTGAAACAGAAATGTCACAATCACAGTGGGGACGTTGGTAGTTAAATATGACGGCACTGATCATGCAGTGGCGGGGCGGCGTCAACGTGGCGTGATTCAGTTGTAATTGCAACAACTAATTAGGTACAACTTCATAATTGTAAATCCATCCACTGACCTTTTATCTTCCAATTAATCGATGTTTGAGTTTGACTACCATTATTTTTATTTATTTATAGTACTCAAAAACAAGTTATAACAACCTCCATTACTGAGTCTTTCACCATCTTGGACAATTTGAGAATATGACTATAAAAAATCAGTTGCAATTCCACCTCTTTCTTTCCTCCAAACACGAAACAACACTCCTCATACATCACACGCCATTGGAACTATAGTTATGTATACTACCGAATTTTATATTAAAAAAATGCAAACTAGTTAGTGTAAGATATTGAAGAGTATCTGTAAATTATAAGTTGTTAGAAAGCTAGACTGTCTTCAGAATATAACTTTGTACTCGAGGTCATAGGCGTGTTGCAACTGGGAGCTTCTAGTATTTTTATTATATCTAAAGTTTAAATTATTTTTTCTTAGATTGTATCAATAATCAAAATATAAATATTTTCAGTACTTTGTTTTGAAATTTGAAGAATTATCATCGTACTGCAAATCCAATTTACCTTGAGTGAAAAGTAAAACAAGAGAGTTGGTGAAATGAGATGTAATTTATCCATCAATTTATAGCTGGAAGGAATTTAATACGACCAAAATCATATTGAGAATGGCTGATTAAGTACACTTCATTAATTATTAAAAGATCACCAAATTAAGCAAGTGAATGCTTCGTTGACACGTTGAAATTCAATAATCATATTAACATAATTGCCTGTTGGCAATCTTTTTGTTTAAGAAAAGAAAAAAAAAAAATCATTTTTCATCAATAAGCGGTAGATAGGGGCTTGTTTTAACACAAATTTCATATGTATGGTCGATCATGCAAATACAAAAATATCTGGAATCAGTTTTTCATCAACAAAAGATAAATGTGATAAATCACCTCAGAATGATCGAGTGATTCGATAAGGGCTCTTAAGTTTATTACTTAAGAGTTTTTAAGTTTCGATCATTTTTTAATTGTTAATAGGGATAGTCACTGGAGTTCTTACTTGGTCGGTAATTCCAAGATCTCAAGAGATTAGTTAAGGTGCGCGTAATCTAGTTTGGACACCCCTGGTTAAAAAAAAAAAAAAAGATAAATGTGATATAAATTATAAAAATTTCAAGTGTAAAGTTAACTCTCCATAAAATAATTTGACAGGAGTCACGATTTTTTTTGACCCTTTTTGCATATATAATTGCAGATGTTGACTAGAATATGGAGTAAAAAACAAATAATGTGAATGCATTATGCATGGATACAGTGTAAATAGTTATCATATAATGGCAATCAGGAAGCAGCCGTGTAATTGTGTATAGAAAACAATAAGAAGTGACAGCAGCCTGCAAGGTGAAGTTGAAAGAGGGAGATAAAATAGAGACAAATATGTGAATAAAAGCAGCATAGGCGTGGAAGTGGAATCTCCCACCCTTTGAGTCACATCTCAAATTCATTTGTTCACGTCTGTACAATACCAAACATCGATCTGGGTGAGAGAGGTGACCTGAAATTTGATTCCTTTTCACACCAGTAAGTAAACCCACCAGCCATCAGCATTTTAGGTTTAGGTTTAGGTTTAGCCCACCACCATGTGAGGAATCGGTCCATAATCATCATCCTTCACAGACCCCACTCGCTGTGAAATTAGTAATTTTACTGTTTAGGTTTCTGATTATTTTCATTTAAATATATACATTTAGCTCTCCCAGCCTTTCTGATCAGATCATTAAAGATCCCAGTATGAGACCCCACGCTAGCTAGCTCTTTTCTTTCTTTCTCCTTTACAGTGTTAGACGCAACCCACCCAGGTTATTTTCGCAACTTTGCAGATCTAACACGTCTCCACAAACCAAACCACTGTCTTCGTACTCTGTTTACGCTATAGCAGTTAGCTGATTCTAGCTTATTTTATATAATAGAAAACAAGTTAACCCAACTCACGTATCATCATTTCTCTCTGAATCATTTCATCTTTGTTTCAACTTCAAGCTATAGGCTAGGCAGACTCATATATGCTATCTTCAACCTTGAAGTTAAAGGTCAAAACTCAGAACAGTAGTTTAGCTATCATGTTGACATTGTTTATCGGTCATTGGAGTTGGAGAAATTTTTGTGAACTAGTTTAGGTGTTTCAGTTTTTTTTTTTTTTTTTATCTCGATTCTCGCTTTACCTTTTGGTCACATCCCTGGATTCTTGCTTACATATAGGTGAAATTGAAGCCTGAAGGGCGTCAGGGTTTCAGAACTGGGTTTTTGTGCAAGTAATTACATATATAAATTTTCACATTGTCAACTATCGACGAATTAAATTAATAGATTAAATGTTCACTTTTAGTTGACATATATTGAAGTGTGATCAGTTTGGTTGTAGCTGCGACGTCCGAGATGGGGAACTGTCAAGCGGCAGAAGCGGCAACGGTGGTGATTCAACATCCGTCGAACAAGATCGAGAGGATTTATTGGTCTGTTAGCGCTAATGAGATTATGAACTCCAATCCAGGCCATTATGTGGCACTTGTTGTCACTTCACCCACGTTGAAGTCAGAGAACGGTTTGCCATTGAAGCAACTTAAGCTCTTGAGACCCGATGATACTCTCTCAATCGGAAATGTTTATCATCTCATCAGCTTTGAAGGTAAAATTAATTCATATTAGTTATTACTTGACAAGATTAAATTTTGTTAGAGCTTTTTATTAAAGTTTATTTTTTTTTATTTTTTTTTGGATTTTATCATGGTCTATTGCTTATTTGCAGATGTGTTGAAGGAGTTTGCGGCAAAGAAGTGCATGAAACTTGGGAGATTGCTCAAGGAGAGAGGCGGGCGTGATCGTTTGGAGGTGAAAACTAACATTTCTAGTGGTCCGAAACCAAACCCGACCCAGAACTCNCCTTTTGGTCACATCCCTGGATTCTTGCTTACATATAGGTGAAATTGAAGCCTGAAGGGCGTCAGGGTTTCAGAACTGGGTTTTTGTGCAAGTAATTACATATATAAATTTTCACATTGTCAACTATCGACGAATTAAATTAATAGATTAAATGTTCACTTTTAGTTGACATATATTGAAGTGTGATCAGTTTGGTTGTAGCTGCGACGTCCGAGATGGGGAACTGTCAAGCGGCAGAAGCGGCAACGGTGGTGATTCAACATCCGTCGAACAAGATCGAGAGGATTTATTGGTCTGTTAGCGCTAATGAGATTATGAACTCCAATCCAGGCTATTATGTGGCACTTGTTGTCACTTCACCCACGTTGAAGTCAGAGAACGGTTTGCCATTGAAGCAACTTAAGCTCTTGAGACCCGATGATACTCTCTCAATCGGAAATGTTTATCACCTTATCAGCTTTGAAGGTAAAATTAATTCATATTAGTTATTACTTGACAAGATTAAATTTTGTTAGAGCTTTTTATTAAAGTTTATTTATTTATTTTTTTTGGATTTTATCATGGTCTATTGCTTATTTGCAGATGTGTTGAAGGAATTTGCGGCAAAGAAGTGCATGAAACTTGGGAGATTGCTCAAGGAGAGAGGCGGGCGTGATCGTTTGGAGGTGAAAACTAACATTTCTAGTGGTCCGAAACCAAACCCGACCCAGAACTCGAAATCTGAGAGCTGCGGTTTTGTTAAGGTACGTAAAAATACACCGCGAAAACTTTAGGCTCCGTTTGTTACATTTATTGCGACCCATGTCAGGGCCTGTTGCTAAGAAAAATAAATTAGTGTTTGATGATTAAAAGCTCAAAATATGAATTAAGTGCTGAGATTGGATTCGTGCCTCGGGTCCTTTCTTTATTATTTAACAGGGACGGGGCATCTGCTTTTCTTTGTCAATTCAAACCATTTAAGCATCTTTACTATCCAAAAAGTGTCGTTTTATTTGAATTCAAAAAATTATTTTTCTGAAGTTAATTTGAAGAATCTGAACTTTGTTTCAGCTACAGATCTCGGGGCATTCATAATACCGCAATATGAGTTCATAGCTTGTTTAGAACCTTAATTACTGATTAGCGTTATTAGGGAAGTGATTACTTTTACAATATAGAAGCATGAACCATGAAGGTCTGATGTGTGTAAATAATTTGCAGGTGGAGCAGGGGGTAGTAGGGAGCAGCGGCAGTAGCAGAAACAGAGTTGTGGGAAGGCAACATGGAGTTGGTGGTGGTAGTGGTGGTGGTGGACAGTGGAAGCCAGCCTTACAGAGCATAGCAGAAATTGGAACTTGAAAGCACTTCACTTTTCACCCCACGCCAAAAATCTCTGTGTCTTACTCTGCCATTCTGTCCTGACCAAATAAAAACAAAACTACAACCTATATGTCTCCAGTCCACCCTCTCTTGTCTTTTCTAGATATATCAATTAGTAGGCTGTAGCCAGTACTTACAGGGTTTGTGTTAGATATTGTAATGTATGAATTTTAAGACTTAATTAATTAGATGTACTAAAACAACACAAGATCTGGCTTCTTTTGCATCTATATATCCTTTCCTTAGCCTGTATAAATTTGTGTGGGTATCCTTGAAAATACTTTTGATGCCATCATCAAAAAACTGTGTTTGATACTATCTTCATAAGGTAGTTGTAAACTTGTAATCACTTTTGGTTGAAATTCCTTGTTGTATACATACTCTAACACTGATGGTCCAGAGAATTCCCAAACATTTTCATTGAGGTAATAATTAAAGGGAGATTAAGAAAGATTTGTAATGATATAAACTAATATACTCTCAAGACACTGAAAAAGTTGCAGCTTCATTCCTAAATGTATGGAAATTAATTAAGTCTTAATTCATATTGCTTTTTTTTTTTTTTCACTCTCAATTAATCTTTGGGGGGTTTTTGGAAATGGCAGCTAGATATAAGAATCTCAATAACTATCTCTATTACTCTTTTGCTATCAGGTCATCTATGGGTGGTCGAACACAATTGCCTTTGCGTTCCCTGATTAGAGATGCATGCATGTGGCTGCTCCCTCTGGCACTGATCAGCTTACTAGTCTACCATTTCTGATATTGTTGAGTGGTGGAAAGAGAAAGCATTATTTAATTTTAGTGGTATCATCATTAAGCACTATAACTTAAAAAATTTAAAAGTCGTTGAATAATTGATCAATTATGCAAAATTGCCTTTTTTTTCCCTTCTTTTCATACATGTCTTATGTCTATATATATTGTTATGGATGAATTTTGCCTTTCAGCTGCCAAAAAATGGATTTGGTTAAAGTCAGTAATTAACAGGATTCATGGTCGGCCACTTTTCACCACGTGTGGGTGTGTATTAAATTTATCAACAAAATCATACAAAAAGAGGAATTGAATTATTGAAATGTTACCCACCGCACAGCCTATAGTTGGGATAAAATTACCATTATATTGATTAGCACTTTTCCATGATTTGAGACATATTGTTCATTACTAATTATCTCAATACCTAATCCTTCACAGCCGTCCACAAATTTTATCACTGCAACGAAAACAATTAAAATTTAAAAAAATCTTGGTTAAAATAATATTTTACTTTTTATTAATTATATTTCCTTGTAGTTCTTATTAACTAAATGTCATCCTGGGTTAAATACCTATGAGTAATACTACACATACATCATTTTCATACAACATTTTTTATACAATATTATGTGACAAGATATAATTGGCTAATTTAAAGTTAAAATTAAACTTTCACCCAATCACATCTTGCCACATAATGTTGTATGAGAAATGTTGTATGGGAATGATGTATGTGTAGTATTATTCAATGCGGTATATATTTGATTAATAGCCTTCAGTTCAAAAATCCCGTCAGTACAGGTCCACCGTCCACCACAAACTTTTTTATTTAACTTCACATTTCTTTTTTTTTTTTATGACAAAAGTGTTCGAACCAGTTTACAGACATCTCAACTAATCTTTCAGAACCTTAAAACTATCGGTCGGGTAAGAAGTCAAGTGGCTACACTATTAGTAACTGAGGAAGAACTCTAACTCAAGACTTATTGAGTAATATACCTAAGAGTTCCTATCAAACCACTTGATAATTCAGAGATAATTAAATTTTTATTTTCATCCCCGTTGCAAAGAATAGTTTACATTAACTACACGTTTCAAGCACATCCACTGAAATTCTCGAAGTTGGATAATTATTACATTTATTTTCATAATTATATTACAAATCAACAATTTAATGCTTGATTTAATTGATACTCAAAATTATGTTGAAAGTGAAAAAAAAAAAAAAAGAAATCATTCATAGACTTTTAATAAGGTATGCATTTAGGAAAGATATATGACATTAACACCTTTAAAGAGCTCCACTTTTTTTAGTGGGGTAGAGCAGTAGTTTAGAAAGGTTATTATTAATTGGAAGACTTTGATAATTTTGTTTAATTTTTTATTTTCGTTTTGGACAATCAAGAGGGGAGGAGGTTGGCAGTTGGCTTGGTTTCGGAAACTAGAATGGAAAAGACGTGTTATGCTTCTGCTCAACTAAAATAAAGAAGGCGAAGAAACCGGTGAGGGATTTTGCAATTATATTCATTTAAAGGAACTAAAATTATATGCATTAAAAAAATTATTTAATAATTTTTGTAATTTTGAAAACGACATTGGAGTTTAGAAAGAGCATTATAGCTACCACAACACTACTTTGGGCTAAGCCCACTACGTCCTTTACTTTGGCCCAAAGAAAGGATTTCAGAAAATAGCATATAAATTCCCTCAGCCTTACCTCGTTTTTTCAAAATCGCGCCTTCTTCTTTATTCCATGGGTACAACATCGTTTCGGAGCTTCCACTTCATTATATGGGTCCTCTTCGTTGCATTCTCAATTTTTCACCCCATCGTCTCCGCCAATCAACTCTCTATAGGTACTGCAACTTATATCTTTTCTCTTTTAATTGCGCGCGCATTTATGTGATCACATTGAGATCTTGAAATCTAGGGTTTAGTTTAGTTATAATCATGAATATATGTTCAAATGCATTTTTGTTTTACAATTTACATTGTTGATTATTTGTTGTGATGGATGTGCAGTTATTGGTCAATCTACTTCACTGCTAGTATCTCCCAGCTTGGCTGTGGAGAACTCTCCTGGTTTAAAGCCGGGCACTAAAGTTGTTTGTGAAAGAGTAGATATTCGTGGATTGTCGAGGCTTCATGATTTGAAGAAGTTTGCTCACTCAGTGAAGGTGAAAGTTTTGCAAAATAGTTCAAGCTTACGGCGGCCCAATGTGGAGGTTTGCTTTCATAGGTGGGTCGTTTTGTAAATGGTTTTTATGGATGAATAGTTTGAATAATTAGTTTAGTAGTTCTGCTAATAAGTCTCTTGATTACAAATGTCTACTAACTAACAAATTATCAAATTCTAACTAAGTAGTTATTCTCACGTTGTTGTAATTTAAGCTTTGTGAATTCTAAATTTTCCTGACTGTTGAAGCATATGATTCCAATATTATCTTTTTGTTGCTTAGATCATTGCCTTTCCTTTGCAGAAATGCATCCCTTGGGGTTGGAATGTGCCCTCATGGGCGTTGGGAGAAAGTCTCTAAGGGTTCATGGTTTAAATCCATGTCACCTTTTGATCATAAAATCTTAGATATACGGATGGCCGGTTCATCTTTAGAAACAGTTGAGGTGGCTATTGAAGAAGGTAAGATATTTCAAGAATAATGTGGTGGATACTTCTCTCTGTGCTACAATCCTTACGACAGTAACTTATGTATCCACCGTCTTCTCTTGTTCCAGAATTCTTTCTATATCGAATTATTTTTTTGATTTCGGGCATCATTCTATTGAGCATTGCTTCAACTCTGAGCAAGTCATTGGTATTTTACTATGGGAGCGCTATGGCTGTTGGCGTCATCCTTGTTATATTGGTTGTCCTTTTCCAGGTAATATAGTTTTCAAGGTTCCGTTACTTGATTTTTCTTAAAATTTGGAAGCTAGGTGTGCTATTGTAAATCTTGGGAATCATTGAGATATATTGTTTGGTTAAGCAGTCTCTATCTTTTTTTTTTTTATTAATAGATTTTACCTAATAAATATAGGACATTATGGTGACCTGGACTTTTTGTTCATGGTTTTTCCTTTTGTGATGTCCATTTATAGTATTCATTTTTTCCTATCTTTGTATCTTAGTAAATAGTTATAGGATCACAATAACAGCTGCTCTGAACTTTGATGTCTAAAGAGTATTACTTTGACGGCAGTTGAATTTCAATAATTTCACTTGCAAATTTTTATATGCTATGGTTTATTTCTGATTTTCAATTTACTATTTCTCTTAAATTGCTTGTCTCAGTTTTGTTACATGTATGGTTATTATAATAGGATGAGGCTTTTAATAGTGTGTAGAACCTACTAATTATGTTACAAATTTGGGTTGATTTGTATATGCTTTCCTCAAAGTATATTTTCTAGTAGCCTTCCTGCCCACATTGTTTATATCAGTTCAGTTACTGCAATCAACATTCACAATCATCCTTGTACTTAAATAATTTGTCGGCCTTAATATTATTGTGGAAAATGTTGCCTTGGTGTCCTTTTATGCTATCTAAATATACTATTATTCTGGTTCAATTGGATGTTTTGGTTTAACTAAAGTCATTCTGGATTATTTACAGGGAATGAAGCTTCTCCCAACTGGCCGAAAGAACTCACTTGCTATATTTATGTATTCATCTCTTGTGAGTATTAACCTTCACCTGTTCAATCTCTCTCTTTCTCTGTGATTAAAGAATATATGCTAATCTTGCAATCAATATTTTTTAGGTTGGCTTGGGATCTTTTTTTCTGCGGTACTTGCCAGGGTTGTTGCGATCATTACTTGCAGAGATCGGAATCAACGAAGACATGTACAATCCTGTATGTAAGTTATCTTATAATTATGGTGATTATCGCTTTTGTATAATTTATGATGCAGATTATAGATTCATTTTATATTACCTAAGACTCTTGTGACTGAAAATTGTTGTCATGTTGAACAGGAATATCTTGTTTTAGTGGTATATTGAACTAGTATGTTTATGTCAAAAGTTAGCACTTGGTGGACCTCATGAGTCCATTTTATGTTAAATATCTGTGTACTGATGTAACAGCTTTTACTTGTACCATATTTTTCAACCTAGATAATGGTAGTGTAGTTTTATCCTCAATTTAAAAAAACTATCTCAATCAACTGTCACAAGGAATAAGGTGTACCTTATGTTTTATCTGAAACAGACAAATGTTTTTCATTTTCGTTTTCCTTGGTAAATCTTTTGGATATAATGTTTTATGAGAGAATCTGAAGTTCACTTTCTTCTTCCTTTTTTTTTTTTCTTTTTAATTTTTTTTTAAGAAACTAACGAAGATTTGCTCTTTAACCCTGGGATGATTGATAGCGCAGTTAAGAATGAGATCCTCTTCTGCAAATCCCTTCTTATTTATGGAGCCATTTATTAATAGATACTTCTATTGTTACTCGGTGATGGTGATAATGCTGATGTTTTCTTTTTTTCTTTTGGTTTGTAGAACTTATGTCCTATTCTTCACTTTGCATTTTAACATTAAAACGTGGCCGTTAATATTTTGTCTTATTTTGCTGCATCATTTAAATTTGCTTGTCGCGCTAGATTTCTACTGATAAATGTTATATACATTGCTTATGATTGTATGTAGTGACTAATTTTTTAACAAATTTTGTTGTACCAAGAAACTAAATTGCTTTGAAATTATATATTGCAGTTGGCAATCTTTCTTCTGGCATTTGTTGTTCTAGCTGGAGCATGGTTGGGCTTCTGGGTTGTCCACAAATTTGTCCTTGCCGAAGATGGATCAATTGATACAAGCACAGCTAATTTTGTTGCTTGGTCCATCCGCATTTTGGCTGTTATCATGATTCTTCAGGTCCTTTCCCCCCAATCCCAATTCTCGTGTATCTTTTGTTTATGGTTTCATGCTATGAAATATGAATGAATTTGATCAAAGTGTTTGTTGTTTTAGAGCTCTCTGGATCCCCTATTGGCCGCTGAAGCGTTAATATCTGGAATGGTAGTTTCATCAGTTTTAAGGAAAGTCACAAGATTGAGATTCTTGCGTCGTGTGTTCAAGTAAGTACTATTAATCTGGAGCTTGATTTTTTTTTTTTATCACCAAGATCTGCTTCCAGTCAAACATTAAGAATTGCAACGTAGTATTGTATTAGATACATGTCTGACAATTGATGATGTTCAAATTTCAATCAACTGTTTTCATTAAAATAGCAATAAAACCAATTTTTCTATTCTGGTATTGCAATGATATTGTGTGATACACAACTAATTAGTTTGTTTGTTGAAGCTGTAAAATTTTGGAGCACGTTTTCAATTTTCTACAGTTTCACTGTGCACTTCTCCCTGATTCCCTCCTTACATGTGAAATATATTTTTTTAATGTCAGTGCCTTTTATCACATTGGATTCATGATTTTCATTATATACTTTTGCAGGAAGTTATTCAAATTAGTCAAAAACTGCCGTGGGCTTGCTGAGGTTATTGATTTATCTCCGTTACGAGATTCTTATGAAGAATTTACATATAAGAGGCCGCAAGACTTTAAGTTTGTCTTGCGTCGGTCCAAAGACTTCTCTTTGGCTCCATGTGATTCTCCTAAGCAAGGTTTGCTGCAATTTTTATTTTATTTATTCCTAGCGGCTCAAAAAAGTTAGGATTACTGTCTCTTAACTGCAATGTGTTGTTCCTGCATTCTAGCAGTTACTCCAGGAATAACCAGGACATCTCCTAGACAGCTGTCAGATTCAGAGATTTACCCTTCTGCCTTCCATACCACTCCTGAAAGAAGAAAATTCTCAAAAGAAGATTGGGAAAAATTCACCAAAGATTCAACAGATAAAGCTGTTAAAGAACTTGTTTCATCGCCTGACTTCAATAAATGGGTTGCTGCGAATGCAGATAGAATCACTGTAACTCCTAGAAAAGTTTCCTCTCATTCTTCTGGTCAGCGTCGTAAGTGGTTCCTTTTATTTTAAGCATCTAGGGTTTCTGTTATAACGTAAAAAGTCTCTATGATATTTATAAGGTAACCCATCACGAGCTGCTAAATGTTGGTTGGCATAGCGTGGAAGTTTAGAGCATGACAGGTGTGTTTTTTTCCCAGCATCATGGTTGTATGCAGTATTTCACCAGTTTGGCATATGAAAAGAACAAAGCTGCATTGACTCAAGCTGAGGGACGTGAGGAAGTTGTGCTTAATGCATGCATTTAGGAGACTAACCTTTGCGATAATTTGTATAGAATTTTTTTTAGTAGTATCAGCACGGTTGGTAGTAGGAGAAGAAATTTGAGGCGTAGAAATTGCCAATGCACTACTAGTCACACTGTAAATGATGATGTTGTTGATTAGTTTCAAAGCAAAGATAGTGTAGACAACTGACAAAGCATAGATGCAGATAAAGTGAGCTTGAACTTTTTATTTTCTGGGAAACTAGTTTTAATATTACTTTTTTTGGGTTAAAAAATTGCACAATCCATAGAAGTGCAAGTCCATTAGCCTTTTCTTTCTTATATAATTTTACTATCTGTTTTACATTTAAGTTAATGAATTGATTGCTATCTTATCATTTAGTAACATTCCTCCATTGTTTTTGCCTGTCTTTTAAGGGTTTCTTTTCTTTCTAGTTTCTACAAACATATGATGAGCTAGATGTGGATTTAGGATTCAGAACGGTGATTTTTACAGTAAAACGCAATTACTAATTATTAGTGATGTGGATGATTTCGGTCCTACGTATATGATGTGCAATTATTGAAATCAGACAGGTGTAGTGTTGTTTGTCAAACAAGGTGATGCTCTTTTATTTCGAAAAGATCGAGGCAACGGAACGACCTTCACGGAGTGAAAACTTTTTGACATTTCTCGTCTGCTTGTCTCATAGGATTCCATTTTTCAAAAGCGACCTTTTTATCCTGAAACCTACTTTTTATTTTTTAATAATTTCATCTATATCATAAAAGAAGATATTTCCAATTTCATTATATCAAAAACCAATGTACGGTATCTTAATAATAGGCAATTAAACATTCTATTTGATATTGAATTCCTTTTACGCCCCACATTATCAGTTATTTAAACGATACCCTATGCCTAAATATGAGGGTTTCGTTTGTTTCAATTCTCAGAATACTACTTTTAGTATTCCTAAAAAAGTTAAACAGTAAAATATCTAAAAGCTTTAATTTTTGGGAATACTACTCTCAATATTATTCAATTTTTTTTAAACCCCTTAAATTTGATAATTTAATTAAATACCCCTAAATATTTTTTTAAAAATTACAAAACACCTCAGTAATTCATATTTACCAGATTCCGGCCACCACTGCCAGAAATGGCCGGAATCTGTTAGGATGGCACACTACCGGCTGAATCTGGTCGGTAGTGTGCCGATCTAGCCTTTTTCGGTCAGATCCACGGTGGATCTGACCAGAAAAGGCCAGATCTAAGGCCAAAGATCTGGCCGTTGACGGCCAGATCTTTGGCCGTAACAGTTTATAACGACGGCCAACAAACGTCGTCGTTGACCATCAACGACGACCAATTGACCAACTATAACGACGGCCAACAAACGTCGTCGTTGTTGGTCGTCGTTGATGGTCAACGACGACGTTTGTTGGCCGTCGTTATAGTTGGTTGTCGTTGACGAGCAAATACGGTCAGATCTGGCCGTTGACGGCCAGATCTGGCGTGGATTTGGCCGGCAAAGGCCATATCGGTGCATGACCGGCAAGATCCAGCCGCTCATGCGTCAATACGGTGAACCCGGCCACACTCCGGCGGTGGTGGCCGGATGTCCGTATTTGATATTGGGTTGGGGGTGTTTTTGTTAACTTTTAAGATTTTATTATAGGGGGTGTTTTGTAAATAAACAAATATAGAGGGTATTTAATTAATTTATAAATTCTACATCGTAATACCCGCCCAATTCAACTTTTTTTAACTTTTTTCAGAAAACTTTTCTCAAAAACACCCAATTGTGAACCAAACAAAGCCGAGATTATTTCATGCACTCTTCATAACAGTATTTTTTTGCTGGGCGATGAGGGTGAAGTTTGACCAACAACTTCCTTTTAAGTTTTAAATATTGCAGCAATAATAGGTGTGTTTGCTTTAATTAGAAGAAGATCTTCACCCTCCTTTTCTAAAATGTTCCTGATATCGTTTTTCTTTTCAGAAAAAAATAAAATATTTTAATCAAATAATGTAAGCTAGATATGAATATTTTGATTATTAAAAAAAAAAAAAAAAAAAAAATAAAATATTTTAATCAAATAATGTAAGCTAGATATGAATATTTTGATTATTAAAAAAAAAAAAAAAAAACTACCCTATTATCCGATGTACACGGCATATACTAAATTAAAAATTCAAATTGACTATTTATGTGTCGAATATAAACATGATTGTTTAAACATATTTGTTTTATGAATTACAAACTCAGCATAATTCATAAATGAATATGTTTGGAAAATAAAAATCAAAATAAATGATCTAAAATCATATATTATTATTATTTTTTTCATCTGGGTGTCCAGACCAGTTTGTGCACACTTCAACTAATCTCTCGAGTTGTAAAAACTGTTGATCGGATAAGAACCCCATACCACTACTATTAGTGTTTAAAGAGACTCGAACTTAAGAATTCATGAAATCTCTTTTTATTTATTTACCATTATACCACGCCGTGGTTAATCATATATTAGTTAATTTTAAGAGTTTAAACATTTAGAATTACTGCAATACTATTGTTTATAAGACCATAGTTTTGATTATCCAATTAACCCTGGTATGTCAGGCCGTTCTCAATTTTGGATCTTTTTCTCCAAGCATTTACTCAACTTTAATGGATGACGACCAAGAGCATGCTACTTTCTTTATATTCAATTTTTATAAAGTAATTTCTGAAATTATTGACAACTTATAAACAGTTTTTAAGCTTCAAAGTAAATCTCGTTCAATTGAACCAGTTACAGCCTACAAAAAACAAAAAAACTAGAAAGTTCTAGCGGTGCATTGAACGGTAGAAGGGGCCTAAGAAACAAGACACTATTAAAGATTCTTTCTTTACACTATTGGGTTTCTTCTTTAACGCTTTATTTCCATCTTTATCTTTGTGTTGTTGTAAAAGCTGTAAAGCGCGTTCATTAATGCGAGTCCTCTGAGGCGAAGCCTTAAAGACTCAAGAGTCCTTTTGTTTATGTTTTATTCTTCAAAGAAGCTTCTACTTACCTCACACTTGCCGCCTTTATCAAAACCTCCCCTCTATAGATATTCTGCTTTTTGTACCTCATTTTGATTTCTTCATCACAAGGCAACGCAATAATATTTTTCTATTGCGAGTAAGCTACAACAGACAAAATTAAAGAAATGAGTTACTACGATCAGCATCAGCAGCCTCCGGTTGGGGTACCTCCTCCTCAAGGTATGCATTTTTTTTAAGCTATACAAGATGTCGTTGTTGCATCAAAATCTTATTATTGATGGTAAGTTCGTGAAAAAAACTTTGTAGGGTATCCGCCAAAAGATGCATACCCTCCACCAGGGTACCCAGTTGAAGGGTATCCGCAGGGGGGTTACGCTCCTCAAGCTTATCCTCCTCAGTACGCTCAGCAGCCTCCTCGCCAAGAGACTGGTTTTCTTGAAGGATGGTATGTTTATCTTCTCTCTTACATCCAACTATAATTTAATTATTATCTTATTATGACTATCCTATTAAAAAAAACAAAACAAAACAAAACAAAACAAGAATCTGTCTGTATATAGCGTTAAAAGTAGTATCAGTGTATCCATTCTATTTTGTCAAAAAAGATTATATCCTTTTGAGAGACTTGGTTTGAGATATGGTAACATAATAATCTTTATAATTGAAGGCGCTGCATTTTAGTTTGCTTCCAGAAAAGTTTGCAGTTTTTACCGGTTACTTCACATTGAAGAAATTGCTGTTGATTTATGCGAACAAATCCCAAAAGTTTAGCTGCAATTTGCTATCTTAGTTTAACTATTTATTGTGGTTATAATTACTTTAGTATAAAATTGTATGGAGTTGATTGTCAACCGAGTGGTGCTTATGGAGTTGGATCAAAGTTGAGGTTAATTAGGCGGCTGTTAATCTTAATGATCTACTGTAGTTTCAACTGGTGCTTCATAAGCCCAGTAATAGGGTTTGCTTTTCTCTGGTTAGTGAATGAATATCTCTTTTGAAATGGGACGATCAATAAGGTTCAGATTTTGTTATTGAAGAAGGCCTTGAATTTGGAATCTTGAGTCGGGTTATGGGCAGGTTTATCAAAAACTTACTCGATATAATTCCCTGTATTGGGGCAGGCTTATTACAGGGTTGCATATACATAATAAAAACAGAGGACGGGTCCTCCCTATATAGGGGCAGGTTTATCAAAAAGTTGCATTCACATAATAAGAACTTAGGATGGTCTCCCTCCCCTATATCGGGGAAGGTTTTACTTAATCAAAAGTTACATTTACATAATGGGAAAATTTGATCTCTTTCAAAAAGGCTTAAATTTTTATGTTGGCATTTTATACTAAGACATTCGCAACCCTAAGAGTTCTGTTGACATATGATTTTGCATGTGCAGTTTAGCGGCGCTGTGTTGCTGTTGCCTTCTGGACGCATGCTTTTGAGGAGAACCTTCACCAATTCAACGGTGCTTTGATTGTTCATTGTTTACAACTCTTGGATTGGAGCATCTCTGTTATATGTTCATGCTTTAGATGGGAATTGTTTAATTAGTAACACCAAAAGGTTCCATGTGACTTTGTTTTAATTATAAATTAATTTCCCAATTGAAAAGAGCATGTGATTCTTTTGGCCCTTTTTTTATTTTGTCGAAGTATGTATTGCTGAATGAATTAAGTAGAACACTAAAATGGACAAATTATTGATGGGAATCTCATCATGGATGTTTAATATTTTAACCAGATTATAATTTTATAGATAGTGTATATTAAACAAATTTAACTATTTCTGGTAGTCAATAGTTCGATAAGACTTTTGATATATTATTCATGAGGTTTTGAGTTCGAGTTTCTTCTCAAGTGCTAATAGGATTGGAGCTCTTACCTGATTGGTAATCTCAGGGTCTTGGAAGATTAGTTAAGTGTGCGTAAGCTGGTTTGGACACTCCGATCATTAAACAAAAAAAAAAAAAAAAAAATTAACCCATTCTATTTTACTTCAAATCTGGCACCTTGCCATTAATCAAATACATAATAGTTTCTTTGGAGCTATTAATACATATACCTTCTGCACCTACCGGCTTTGCCATAGAGTGATGCTAGGTACTAATGGATGAGTACAAATTTGTGTACTAACTAAGCATAGTACCCGTACTATACACATATTACGGGTACTATGCTTTAGTTACACATTAGTACCCATCCATTAGTACCCAAAGTATTATTCTTTGGGTACAATGAATAAAGAAATCCAAAAACGGCTCTATCATACAATATCCTAGGAAATGTTTTGGGCTTTTAATGAGGGGCCCATGTCATCAATCAGCCCAACATGCCTTAGGCCCAATTAGGCACTCTTTCTTGCCAATCATTTTTGAGCCCACAATTTACTCCCAAATTAATAATAATTTCATCTAAATTTTCGTTATGCAACCTAAATTTTCCCCTTTTTTCTTCAAACATTTAATAATTAATTTATGAACTCTATAACAATGAGACAGCATCTACAAGATACACTAATATTTTATCATTTATACTATCAAAACCTTTTCCACCAGCACTTGTCTTTAAGTATCTTTATCAAAAAACTTTCTGCTAAATAATTTGTTATTTATTGGGTAAATAATTATTTACAATGTGATCTTTTTTAACTTAACATTTTACATAAATCTTCAATCGTGGATTCAATACATTCATGGTGCTTTTTCACATCCTTGGATTGTAAAATATTATAATTGAAAATTTGTGTTCAATTTAAGTCAAATTTTAAGTTAAAAGATCCCAAGTATTTAACCAACCGATATTTGTTTAAACATTTATTCAATTGCCTTTTTTTTTTTTTTTTTTTTTTTTCAATTTTGTAAATGATTTTACATTTGTTATTTATTGGTCGATCATATAGCGTAGGTGTATTTTTAACATTGAATTTTGACCTCTTTTTAGAAAAAGGTTATAAAAAAATTCACACATATTGGAAGTGATTACAATAATTTCAAGTGATGATAATTAATAATTAAAATTATTAAATAAACATGGTTCTTTTTTTTTTTTTTTTTTTTTTTTTTTTGGTAACCGGTGTGTCCGGGTCAACTTGTAAACATCTCAACTAATCATCGGGGTCTACTGAACATTCAAAAAGCCTAAATAATCATGTAAGCCACAATATTATTATGGTATATAATTCTAAAGTTTGAAATGAATAACTCAAGAAAGAGAGTAAACCTCTTTAATTACGAGATCGATCGTTCAGGGTTCTAAAAGAGTGGTTATTAAATAGCATCGCAGCTTGTCATAAGAAAGAAAGACATATTCGATTGGATTATAATTATGGGCCAAAGGAATCTGGTAAATTAACAGAACATAATTCTTACAATTCAACTATTCTTCATCATTCATATGAAATGAAGGACCCGACCTGACCCACTTTGTCTTGTTCTTTTCAACTTTTTTATGAACGGCTCTCCACTCTCTACTGACCACACGCTTATCCAAACTTGATGTTTTATTAGAATCCATATAACTAAATTCAACTCAATTTTCTAAAAACTTTATTGTAAACAAATCTCTGCCTATTTCTGTCAAATTAACTTTTCCGTAAAGCGGGTACCTTTCATGAGTTCATCGCTAGACCATATCAATTTCAGTTAGATTATAGCTCTTATATATTTTCGGTTTCTCTAAATCATTAGTAAAAACTTCGCTAAATTTTATGAATTTACTCAAAATACAAAAACAATAAGAGAGGTTTTGATGGTGTTTTTATGAAATTTTATAAACCTGAATGCCCAGCAAAGTAACTAAACCATTAAAATTAAGGGCATCTGCAGTATTCAGTAAGAAGAAACTCATTGGTTATTCTTTTGTCTCCATTATTATTTTGTCTTTGTCGACCATGCCCACATCTCTTACTAGTCACCTCAACTATCGTTTCGCCGCGTTTCACACTCATCCAATCATCTGTCCCTCCTAACCCTATGTGTCTCTCTTCTGCAAAATCAATTCATCACTTCGCTTAATATCCTTATCATCATTTAATTCATGGCCACACCCAAGCCAGCAATGCCATTGATTTGCCTGCAGCAGCAAAACCATGGAGGCAAACAAATTCTCTGCAATTACTACGCCTACCAGAGGAAGATCCAAGTCTTTACTCATGGTTTGACCGTAAAGGGCACGAGTAAAAGCCAAGGGTTGGTTGTCAAAGGTGGCGGAGTGCAGGGTGGAGAGAGCTTTTATGTAGTTTCGGAGGAAGACTCCCGGTTTGTGGAGGTGTTCCGGGAGGCCCAGCCTTATATTTTTATGCACAGGGGCAGCACATTTGTTGTTGTTTTATCTGCAGAAGTCGTTGCTAGTCCCTACTTGGGCGCCATCCTCGAGGTAGGTCTCTTCTCGATTCACGGCAAGCTCCGTTTGGTTCAGATTTTAATGCTTTTCAAAATAATATTTTTTTTTAAAATATAGTTAAATTGAGATATTTTTATAAAAAAGTTAATTATTAACATTTTAAATTGAATAAAATATGGTTAAATTTTAAAAATATTGAAACAAATATATTTTAGGGTTTTTAGGATAAGATAATAAAATAAAATAGTAAAAAAATAGTGAAACAAAGGCATATTATAATAATTTTGTTTACAAAGGTCTATTAGTTTTAGTTAAATATAGCTAAATATGCGAGATAATTATATTTATCCATGGGTTTGGGTTTACTATCCAGACCTGAGACTAACCCATAATTCTGACGTACATTAAACTATGGTTATATATATATATTTTTTTTTAATGAAGTTAGGTTAATGTCATCATAAGGTTTTAGAATTGGATGATGATTTGAGGAGATATTTAAAAGGATAGAATCTTGATACTGGATCGAAAACTCCAGATGAGTTAAGTCTTTCTCTTAATCATATGCAATTATTATTAACTTAATGTGANGTTTATTAGTTTTAGTTAAATATAGCTAAATATGCGAGATAATTATATTTATCCATGGGTTTGGGTTTACTATCCAGACCTGAGACTAACCCATAATTCTGACGTACATTAAACTATGGTTATATATATATATTTTTTTTTAATAAAGTTAGGTTAATGTCATCATAAGGTTTTAGAGTGGATGCTGATTTGAGGAGATATTTAGAAGGATGGAATCTTGATATTGGATCGAAAACTCCAGATGAGTTAAGTCTTTCTCTTAATCATATGCAATTATTATTAACTTAATGTGAGTAGAATATATACTTTCTGATAATTTCAAAACAGTTCGAGGAAAAAAAATATTTTTAGAGTAACACTATCTTACAAAGAAATTTTACAAAAACTTTCATACAAAGTGATGTGACAAAAAATAAATAAAAGAGTGAATTTAATGAGTTTGATTTTTTGCTTCACTATTCCATTCAATTTTTAACACCACACTTTGTATGCAAATTTTTGTAAGATTTCTTTGTAAATATAGTATTATTGATATTTTTATAACAATAATGTTAAATCCATATTTCAATCTCACAATTTAACATTACCGATAAGAATATATTAGAAATATTTTATTATACAAAACGACAAAAGAGTTTAATACAATAAAACCTCTTTATAGTGATACTCTTTGTAAAATTAATCTTTAGGTAGTTATAAAAAAATTTAATCCCAATTTAGAATAGATATAGATAAGAATAAACTTTATATTGTAATAAGTTATAATTTTTCAAATTATCAAAGTTATCTTCACTTAGGAATAATTATCTTAAAAAAATATTATATTATATTAAAAGTTTAAAATAAAATAAAATATTTGTTTAAAACATAAATTATATAATAAGAAATTAAGTAATATAAAAAATAAATAAAAAATCCTAATACTACTAAAACAATAAATTAAAATCCTAATACATAATTCTAAAATGGATAAAATAAAAAATTAATAATCTTTAAAAATTACACCCCTATTAAATTATAATTTTTTCATACTGACAAATTAGTTTGATTTTACTGTATAACTGTAAAATGGTTTTACCGTAATACAATCGTGACATGTAACTTTTCCTATTTTGACTAATTTAACGCTCAAAAAGCGGACCGTCGCCGTTGCTGGAGTCCTACAGGGCAAAACAAAACAGAACACCAGTCTTGACTCTTTAAGAATTCAAAACTACAATAATCTCTCCAACAAAGACTGTGGCGGTTACCTCACAATTTCCCTCCAATTTTGCCTTCTATGGCCGTTTCCTCTTGTTCCCTATCACCATCTACCACTAAAGCCAAGCTCTTTCCCTGTCCACGCCGGTATGATTTCCAAAAACCCACACAGATTCTTCAATTTGGAAACAGATTTTACAAGGGTTTATCTCTGGGTTTGAAGGGTAAAACTGAGTTTGTAAGAAAAGAATGCCGTGTGTTTAGCGAATCAGAGATTGGATATGTTGAAGATGCCTATAATGGTGAGGAGGACCAGCAGTTTGTTAAGTGGTTTCGTGAAGCTTGGCCGTACTTGTGGGCTCATAGAGGGGGGACTTTTGTTGTTATTATTTCTGGTGAAATTGTTTCTAGTCCTTTCTTGGACCCCATTTTAAAGGCAATTGTTTTGTTTTTCCTTATATTTTTTCTGTTTGGTTTGTGGGAAATGGCAGGAAAATTGTTTGGTTTAGTTTTACTTAGTAATGTTTATTTTATGGTGGATGCAGGATATCGCGTTTCTTCATCACTTGGGGATTAGGTTTGTTCTTGTTCCGGGGACTCATGTGCAAATTGACAAACTTTTGTCTGAGAGAGGCAAGTGAAAGTGAAAGCTTGTGCCTTTATTTAGATTCTCTCATATTGGAATTCTTATGATTCATCATATTATCATATCATGATATATATATTTGGGTATGTTATCTTATTGTCGTTCTGTTATTGTTGATTTTTATGGTTCCATGAAATGCTATAGATAGCGCTAACCCAGGTATGTTTTTGCAGGACATGAACCGAAGTATGTAGGCCGATATAGGATTACTGACTCTGAATCACTAGCGGCTGCTATGGAAGCTGCTGGGGGGATTCGTATGATGATAGAGGCAAAACTTTCTCCTGGACCCCCAACATGCAATATCCGCCGGCATGGTGATAGTAGTCGTTGGCATGAAGTTGGTGTCAGTGTAGCTAGTGGTAACTTCCTTGCCTCCAAGGTATGAATTTACTGTTTCGAATATAATTTTCAGCATGGTGGAGTGTTGTAGTCAATTCTGCTTTCATATATCTATAATAGGATACGTGGTCTAATTGCTTATTTTATATGTGATTTTCTATCATTGTTTTAATTTTGTTGCAACTGTGGTTTCTGTTAATTTCTTTTTCAGAGAAGAGGAGTTGTTGATGGTGTTGATTATGGAGCAACAGGTGAAGTAAAGAAAGTAGATGTCACTCGCATGCGCGAGCGACTTGATGGTGGTTGTTTAGTTATATTAAGCAACCTTGGGTATTCCAGCTCTGGAGAAGTTTTGAATTGCAAGTATGCCATATAGTTTCTGATAATCATTGTGTACTGTAACTTGGATTATTTGATCGCTAAATGTTAGTTATTCTGATTTACCGTGGTCTGAAAAGCGAAGATCTGTTTCTTCTTTAACTTGTACTGGTTTCCACTTATGGGTTATTTCTTCCTTACATGCACATATATGTCTTGCTTATTTTTATCTTTTTTATAACCTTCTTTCCATCCTTATCTTGTCACAATGACATTAATAGCTAAAAATGGCACCTTGCGTGAGATTTTTCTGATATGTGTTTTAGGCATTTTTACTTTAGTTGAGTGACACTTGAGTCAACTGAGTAGTCTGATTGAGTTTGCTAATGGAAGAATGAGTCTCTCATGGTTTCTAGTCTACAGATTCTAATTTCGTAATTTTTTTTTACCTTATCAAGTCAATGGTTAGATTCAGGTTTTTGGAAAGAAATTATAGGACTAACTGCTACAATTTTCAGCAGAGATGGTATGGTTTATTTGTCTTGCTTTCATAAAGGGTTGTGCAATTTTGGAGCCTTTTCGTGTATATATATATATATATATTTTGATCTGCTTGAGCTTTGGTGCCGCACAGTATTTTGATTTTAATTGTTTTTCTATTTTTTTGACCTTTTACATCTCTTGATTACTCCTAATGCATCCCACTGAAAAAAGGAAAAAAAAAAAAAAGATTTTGGATTAGATAATTGCAAAACTTCAATCTTAATCACTAATATTTTATGCTTTTGTGAATTTCAGCATGTATGAAGTAGCTACAGCTTGTGCTTTAGCAATTGGAGCAGATAAGCTTATCTGCGTTATAGATGGTCCAATCTTGGATGAGAGTGGACGCCTAATTCATTTCTTGCCTCTTCATGAAGCAGACATGTTAATCCGTGAACGGGCAAAACAAAGTGAGATAGCTGCTAACTATGTGAAAGCTGTTGGTGAAGAAGATCTGATTTTGCTTGGAAAGGATTCTAGTGGAAGTCTCCATGCTCATCAAAATGGGAAAGCTCCTGGTGAAAGGCATAATGCAACTTTTCTTAATGGTGTTGGTTTTGATAATGGCAATGGACTGTGGTCTGGTGAACAGGGTTTTGCAATTGGAGGTCAAGAACGGCTAAGTCGATTAAATGGTTACCTTTCAGAATTAGCTGCTGCAGCTTTTGTTTGCAGAGTAAGTCCATGATATGTTCGTTATCTTTATGTAAATTTTACTAAATACGATTGTTTTCTTAACAGACACCTTCGCCTGCATTTCATTTAGTCTTCTTGTTTATTATTTTATGGATATTTACTTCAGCAAGTCTCATGTTTGGTTAAGTCATAAGTGCTTGGTGCAAATTCCAATTTGTTCAGAATCTAAGTAGTGTGGATTTATTTCTACTTTGGAAAGTTGAATCTATCTGTGGATTTATTTCTACATTGGAAAGTTGAATCTATCTTTAACTTTACCCTTTTTATGTCTTTCAACTTATTCCTAGATTTTTGTTTAGTTTATCTAACTTGGAAATCGGTAAATTTGACCTTTCTGCTCATTTGCTCTGCTCATTTGCTGCTAATAGCCTCAATTTGCAAAAGGCAACTCTCATTTTTTAATTAAGGGGAACGTTTCATGTCAATATTGTCTGTTGTATCAAGAACTCAAAGAAAATATGATATATTCGAGGTTAAAAGACCATTATGGTATTGGAAAAGGAAAGAAAATACTCAAAATAATGACTGATAAAAAGGAGAATAGTCAGGCTACTATATTTTTTAGAGAAGGTTCTTGTTCTGAAACACATGATCTGAGGTTATTCACTGAAACAACTTTCTAGAAGTGGAGAACTCTGTAGCCTGTAGGACATATTGAGGCCATGTTTTGTTGGACACCTCTCTGGACTAATTCATGTAGGGATGATAATTTTAAATGTTAATTAGCCATTAAAATTGTAGTTTAAGAGTATCTGAAATGATTTCTGAAAATATAAGTTGAGAAACTGATTAACTGCCTAAAACCTGGCCAAGAAAGTATGAGGAGCTGCTGCTTATTTACATCCTCTTCTGTTAATAAATGGATGAAAGAATTTAATTTTCTTCAGTGGAAAGTTGCAGAATACCGTCATTATGTATAACTTTGTTGTGATGTTAAGTTCCCTGATAAAATGGCTCAGTAAATTCTGGCATCTTTGAAAATTGCCTGTGATATATTTTTTGGTTCTTAGAAGTTTCAATTCTTTAATATTGGGTTACTAGCATGCACGCAGTCTGTTCTATTTTCTTCTTTGTAATCAGGGAGGTGTTCAAAGGGTTCATTTGTTAGATGGCACCATTGGTGGAGTTTTATTATTGGAACTTTTTAAGAGAGATGGAATGGGGACAATGGTGGCTAGGTATGCAATTTTTTTTTTTTTTTTTTTTTGATGATTAATGTGTACAAAAGGAAACTAATATCTCAAACTACATTTCTAAGGTTTCCATTTGGCTTACAGTTCACTGTCAATAATATAGCAGTTTCTTTTAGACAAACCCTTGTATTCATGATGCATGCAATTCCCTAACTATTTACATTTACAAGTTTTTTAGTGCATTTGTTGATATAGGTGTTAAATAGCCTGGTCATTGGCATATGGCATGAGTAATGATTGTACCTTTTATGAACTGGTTTTCATCCCATTCATTCACTTGGGCATTTAATTGTTTATTTTAGCGATCTTTACGAAGGAACGCGGATGGCTAGCTTGACAGATCTGTCTGGAATAAGACAACTTATACAACCTCTAGAAGAATCTGGTGTATTGATCCGGAGAAGTGATGAAGAGGTTTGGGCTCCCATTTTTTTTAAACACCAAATTGACTCTACTTGGTTATCATTTATTTGCTTGGACAGAGTTTCTCACTTGTCTTGTGTTAACAGCTACTTAAAGCATTAGATTCATTCTATGTTGTGGAACGAGAGGGTCAGATCATTGCTTGTGCTGCTCTTTTTCCATTTTTTGAGGAGAAGTGTGGGGAGGTTGCTTGTATTGCAGTTTCTCCTGAATGCCGTGGTGAAGGACAGGGTGATAAATTACTTGGTATGATATTAGTCTATCATAAAAGTATATTGCTTGTGCTTCAGTTAAAGTTCAAAATGTGTAATCATAGATTGGACATGAGCTTGGTTTCTCATCTCATATTCCGAAGTTCATAGATATAAGAAAACAGCTTGGCAGGTGTTATCATATCAAATATATTTTTTAGATGCTTGAAGTGGTGCTGAAACTTTATACCTTTTCAGCTTTTTCCCTTCTGACTGTAATTCCAATTCTATGTTCTTTGTGTCTATTTCCCAAGCAAACAAAAGCAGATGTGATTGCATATTTACAGAAATTGCTTCCCAATATTTGGATAGAAATTATAGGATCCCCTAAACAGCCTTTGCCTTTGTGATGTGGTCTTAAATTTCTTCTTAGGTTAACTGTTATTTTTAAGTATCCATAAGTATTTTTATGTCACCTATTATATTTTCTTCCGGCATTGATGGACAATAATTTCTTAATTGCAATCAAATATCTGCAGATTATATTGAGAAGAAGGCATCGTCTCTTGGATTGGACATGCTCTTCCTGCTGACGACCCGTACTGCAGATTGGTTTGATACCTAACTTCTTGAAATACTTGTGACAAATCTATTGCTAGTTGTGTCCATATCTAATGGGTTTGAAATACACATAATAAGTTAAAAATTTAGTTGAGACCTTGTGGATGCTACATCACATTTATTACTCCTGATCCTTTTGGTTAGTTAATTTTCTAAGGTTTTTATGGAAAATTGGTTCTTTTCAATTTTAGTTATTCTGTTTCTAAAATGATTTTTTTTTTCAGTATTCCATTATAGATTTGTGTTATTCTACATAAAATTTTGAATTTTGGTGCCAAAATAAACACACACACACGTAGACTGATACACGGTTGTCTTTCTTGAGTGAAAATTGATTACTAGTAACACTGAGAGGTTGGTTGAGTGATCTCGGACTGTGGTTTGTTCCAAGGTCTAGAGTTTAATTCCTCGGTCAAATTACCTGGCAAAAAGCCATAAATGTTGTACTTTTGGACATTCCAAAAATCGTAGGCTTTGATTAGAACTCAAGTTTTGTAGTTATCTTTGGTATGAGAGTTCAGGTAATTTTGGGTTTGTTAAAAATAAAATTGTTGGTCATTTAGTCACTTTATGGCCATTGCATGAAGATTACAGCTACTCAGTGCTTGGCGATATTATTATCTAAAAGTAGATTTTCGATTGCAGGTTTAAGAGCCGTGGTTTCAAGGAATGTTCCATTGAAATGATACCGCGAGAAAGGAGGAAAAGGATCAATCTTTCCCGTAAGTCTAAGTATTATGTGAAGAAATTGCTACCTGATAGAAGTGGAATTAGCGTTGATAGGGCATTTCGATGACTGGATGAGGCTCCTCGAAGTCTGAAGCATTAAGTTCTTTAGAGATTGCCTCCGTCGGTTGCCTGATTTTGCTGTGTTGATCCTAGTCATACCTGTCATCAAATTTTTTGAATTGTTAGTTAGCTGAACATGATTATCTCAAATCATCAGAGGTTAGTGTTTTTGTAGGTTAATAATCGCAAAAGCTTTATCAAGGAAATGTAACATTTATTTATGAAATGTGTGTTAGTGTATGTCCTAGGAATCAATCGTGTTATCGGTTTAAGGACATTATATCTTGTAAATGTATTATGAATAAAAGAAAGTGTTCTTATTTCATATGTTGATTTACTGCTTCATTTATATTATAATTAATATTGCATGTGAAATATCCGGATGACACGGATCTTCAAAAGATTAGATCATTGAAGAATTCCCTACACAAGTAATGTTAATTGGGTAATAACATTGCATAGTAGACATGCTGAATGTCTCCATTGAATATTATGTGATGGTATTAGTGTGAGTGATTACAAGAGGTATGTCACTAAGATATTAGTATAGATAAACGGTTAGTGAACTATTTATCGAAAACGACCGATTACGATGAATCACATAAACGTGGTCAATGATACATCGTAGGATTGTGCTAGTGTACCACTGATCCTTAGACTTGAGACATCACGGTTGAATTTAACATAGGATGCATATAGTTCATACGATGTATAAGCGCGAGACTAGTCATGTCTTGTGTAATAAGCTGGTTTGGTCATATGTTATTCATGTGCAAAGACAAGTGATGGTCAAGATGAGATTCGTTAACTCAAAATAGTCCAATCTCGAGTTCCCAGATGAATGTCAATAAACATTGGAAAAATGAAATCTCTAGCTAGAGTATAATGAATGTCAGATGAAAAGTAGTTTCATGTTGACACCTTCCATTGTATCGATTGACAATTCGATTAAAGATTAAGTCAAAGATTTTGACATACTATGAATCATTCTTAACGATTAGATAACAAATGGATTTTACTACACGGTACGTACGATCAGAATAGTTCATTGCAGTTTACACTTCATTGTGGTTTAGAGGTTATAGAACATTGTTAGACGTTTACCATAATCAGTGGGAGTTTTGATTATAAAGAATTATAATAAAACATATCAGAATTTGATATTGGACCCACGGCTAGATTACAGTGAACCAAAATGGTCACACATAAAACCAAGCTCAAGAAGAGAGAGTAATACATATCATTGATTGGATTAATGATGTTCGGACGTAAACAGTTGCATCAAAATAGTGTATTGGTGAGAAATGATTATCTATGGATAGCTAGCAATAACCAAGGGTAATAAGAATTTATTAAATATTATTATTGAATTGGATTCAATGACAGGGACAAAAGTGCATTGATTTTATTCTAAAGAGTTAGAATAATTAATAGGATTAAAATTGGGTTAATTATGAATTAACCATAAAACTAAAGACTTTGACATAAATGCTCTTTTCCAAGATTAATTTTAAATTGTTTGAAGACTTCTCAAGACAATTTAAAATTACACTTTGTGCCCATGGTATATAAACAAAGTGTTATACTATTTTCATTCAATTTGAAACAATTGAAAACAAAAGACACTTTCTCACTCTCGGCTCTCTCTCATCTTTGGCTTGGGTGGATTATATTTTAAGTTTCTTCATTCTTTTTTGAAGAATCTACTCTAAGTTTCAACATCAAGCATTTAATAGCAAAAAAGTAGGTAATATATTATTCTTTTAAAAAAAAAAAGATTGTCATTGATGTTATGTTTGTTTTCTACCTTGCATCCATTATCTTGTTCATCCATTTTACACCATTTTCATGTCTAAAATGCATGAATCCCAACAATGTGTAGTGTAGATGTTATTGTGTAGTTTTAGGGTTACATAGGGGTTGGACTTACTGTGATCCAATAAGGTTTTTACAGTTTTATATAAATTGCATTTTCCTTTTTTTAACATTTGTTTATTAAATCAATTGGTATGATGTAAATTCAGTTTGATTAATCTGTTACGGTGTTACCCCAATTCAAACGCATTCATGGGATGTTGTTCTTATAGTTATAAATATAGAGTTGGATTTTGAAGTTCGTATACTGAGAGCTTAAGTAACTTCAGTGGTATTGTCCCCCTTTACTTGGAGGGGAATGTTTTTCGGGCTTCTCTGTTAATAATAGTGGCGTGGGCCGCATTAATATTGCCTCTAGGAGTAGTGATGCAGCACTTAACGAGTTTTGGGAGAGAAAGCCAAAGGGATCTCACTTGAGTCATTGCTTGCTATCTGATAAATGCAGATCCTAGCAAGTTTCAGTATAATCATTAGGAAAAGAATAAATGTGCAATATTCTTTCATGGAGGGATAAAAGAACAAAAGGGTACAACCCATCAGTCTCATTTTATTATAATCAAAGAATTCGTTCGGGATATGACTGGAAATACTACATTGTTGCCATTTGCAGAAAATGTGCAATAAAAGAAAATCACAATCCTCAGTCGCATGACTTATCTTATGATGCAAGAAATGTGAGACGTTACTATCAGTTTTCATCGGATTTTGGAAGACCCTTCCACTTGAAGTTGTCTGCATATGCCTTCACCTGACAAACAGAACACAAAATAAGCTCCACAATGTAAGACTTGGAAAGACTCGGACTCATGCAAACCAAATATGGCATCTTGAACAATATATAAACACCTTCAGACTCTCATTGAACACTTCAATGCAAAACTAACAAAATTCTGACATACCAATCTAAATCTGCTGGTTAATGTGGTCACACAATTTTTAGCATAAGATACTAGCAGTCCTATTTTGCACTTCAAATATGCTAACAAAATTTACAATTATTGCTGCAAACAACTCATTCAAGTAGCTAGTAAGATTTCTTGCAAGAGATCTTTCAAATTTGTCTTACACCAAGGTTAGAGAGTGAGGGTAAGGGTACTGAAAAAGAAAAGTTGTCTAAAGGCAGTTATGAACACACTGTGATTATATATCACCTATCATCTCTCTTATATCATATTTCAGATCAGCTTTGATAGACCTTCATGACTACAGTAAAGCAATAAAATTGCACTGCCACTTTGGAAACATCCAACATGAGAATGAAATGTACTTTAACAGGAAGAAAAAGAAAAAAATCAACAAGATAGACTTCGGAAGCATTGGAATTTCTTCCAGGGATTTTGAAGATTAAACAATTGTCTCAACGATATTAACACTTTAAGGGCAAAGCATTTTAGTTGGGTTTCTGTAGCACTGCCTTCTGATCCTACAACATTTTATTAAATTCGGTTATTGTTTGTTGTTAATTTGATCTCAATTAGAAGACATTTCATCTGTTTGGTCCACTGATGGCAATTGCATGGGGCAGGACCAAGTTTGCCATCTCATACCCACCCCACAACTGGGGTAGGGAGTCAGATATGTCCTGGACAATCGAATAGAGAGTTCTTATGTTACTGCTTTTTCGCTGTTTACGTCAGTACACCCAATGTTCAAAGTGCAGCAAGGTCTATCATCTTAAAAACTGGTTAGCTGAAATAAATTTGATTAAAATTTCTTCCATAATTTATAAGTTAAACTTGTAAATAGTACTTCTATCATCATATAACCAATTGGAATACCAACTATATAATTTCTCATTTAATATGGTAATGCATAATTGTAACTGATACTGGATAAATATAGTTACTTCAATTCAGTAGCTACAACTCTAATCAATTGCATGACTTATTCTTCTTCCTAGATGAAACAAGTGTCAGAATGGAACACAGTTTATGCACCCGACTATAATATGGAGAAGCAAATAGCTAAAAAGCCAATAAAAAATGGTTAGTTAAGAGTATCAAACCTTCAGCAATGGTGTATGGCGCTTCCTGACCTGAAAATTAGTAAAAGAAGTATCATCGATAATCGATAAGGTGGAATTTAAGAATGAACAGAAAAAAGAAATAAGTAACTTCACATGAAGGAACCGAGTGAAGGTTTCATTAAATAATTGAAAATTATGAAAGTAAGCACGCAGATAAATAGTAACTAGTCTATGGAAACTCAATAATTGAGACACAAAAACATTTAGGATAAAGAAATACTAGGTGCTAGCAAAATCTTCCAATTTGAAGGGAAAGAAAGATGATGGAATAAAATTCCCAAAACATATCCTTAGCTTCAAGCAAGAAATATTTAAATTGCAAAGCAAAACATAGAGAGAGTGAACAAACTAATCTCAATAGTAAGACTTCAATACAAAAATTAAACAACACGTACCACATACTCCCAACCGTGTCTCTCAGCAAATGCCTTTGCAGCTTCTTCACTATCAAAACTCAATCCAGCATCACCTACATTAGCATATGGGTCTCCTGTGGATGTCCAACCCATCAAAGGATTTTCCCACCTACAGCATTTTACTAAAACTTGTGAAACAGGTAAAAGAAACTTATAATATTAAAATAATTGCATGACTTGCACTAGTTCAAGAAAGTAGCTAGATATTTCTATTATCTTTAAAGTATCACTAATTAAAGGCCATTCCAGTAGCACAGCCAGAAGCTAAAGAGATTGCATTCAGCTAAAGGCCTTATAAGAAAAGATCCCCACAACAATGTATTGTTGAAAATAAAAGAATTCAGATTATACCGAAAGAAGCCATGTTGGAGAGACCACTTCAATTGTTATGACCGCCAATTCTAATTCTATAGTCAAATTCCATGCCACTAAATACAACCCAACTAAGTTGATAGTCTTTAGTAAACTTGAGATAAAAATGAATAAATAAGTAAATAAAATATACATACTTTTGAGTGGACATAAAATTGATTTTCCACCTCCCAACTTTTCCATATCCTTGCTGAGTAGCAGTTCTAGCTGGTGAGTAAATTACAACCTGCCATGAGTATCGAAACATGAAGAGAAAATCTTCATAACACGATCAATCAATCACAATATATTAACTTCATTAAAAACAAAAGTAAAAGCCCTAATTAATGTTCGTGTTTAAGAATTTCAAGACCCTAATTAACCAAATAAATCTACCATCTTATCATTTTATAAAACACCAATTCTCTCAGAAAAGAAAACGTTATTCATCATATGTAAGCCAATAGTGAATCAAAATGACGCGAAGGAATAGAGAGATGTACCCTTCTACGGAGATGTTCTTCGGGAATTCCAGAGACCATGCCGATCTCGCCTGTCTTGACCTCAACCAATGCGTCTGCAGAGAATGGTCTAGAGAGAGGGCAGAGAGCGGTGCGCACGGAGCGACCCTGGCTCCATATACGTTGCAGAGGGTGAGCCATCTTAAAATCTTAAAACCAGAGAGTCTGTCACTTGATTGTTCTTTGTGGCCTGTAAATGGAGTTTTCTTCAACAAAAATATTTGATATTTTTCAGAGAATTACATTTTATCTCTATTATTTTTGCATATATTAAATGGCCCCTAATGTTTGTGATTTCCGTTTCTTGAGTTAAAGATACTTCGCGTTTCGAATCTTTTCGATTCTTTCCGTACTTTTATATTGAAAATTATATATTATCTGTTTCTTTAATCCTTTTTATTTTTGTTTTTAAAAATTAATAATAATAATCCCTTTTAAGTCTTGTGATTATATTAATAAGTATTTAATGTTAAAATAGACGTAAAGGAGCAATAAGTATATTCATTAATCAATCTATTAAAATTTTTCACGTATATTTGATTACACTTTGTAATGAATCAAGCCAAAAAAATTGAGATTCATATTTATAAATAAAATAAAATACCATAAAACATAAACAAAATATTTGTTTTATTTTCATTTTTTATATTATTAACACTTTCATATCCTTGTAAGATATAAAAAAAATCAAAATTAAAAAAAAATAATCCCATTTACCTACGTGAATTACAAGTAACACAGCTCATCATTTGTCTTCTTTTTCCATTTACCGTTACAGCACATCTTTGGTGAAGAATGGCAACATCCCTGCAATATTCTAATCTTATTATTTATTAACACAACATTAATAAAAAACTGTCTAAAAATCTACTACCAAAATATCTTTTTAACTTTGTTTTCAATATAATTTCAAAAGGAAAACGTAAACTTTTATTTTTACAAAGAGCGGTCACAATGATTAAAGGATTACTATAGAAAACCCCTTATGTTTCGTGAAATAGTATTAGCCACATGCTATTTTGGAAAATTGGCTTTAGCCCTGTGCATTAAAGTTAGCGGTTGAAACATGTATTATCTATTAATAAAGAAATTATTGGACTTTTAATTTTTTTTTTTTTAAGAAAACTTTAATTATTTTTCTTTCTTCTACTCCCTTCTTTATCTTCTTTATCATCCTTCTTTCTGCCTTCTCCTTGACCATTTCTCTCTTGGATTTAATCATTTTTTTAATCTATAACCAAATTTGATTAGACATAATAACAAAGTATTATTGCTATTATAATGCAAGACTTTGAAAGCTTATTACAAAGGTTGTGTCACCTTGAAGGTCTCCAATAATTCCACGGGGGCCTTTAGGGTTTTTAGCAATCAAAATTCAATAAATTCGTGATTTTATGAAAGAAATGTAACAAACGTTATACCCTTTTTTTTTTTTTCAATTTGAATTTTATAATCCAACATGTTATTGGTGAAGACAAAGAGACTGGTTTATTTACAGAAACAAACGTTATTTCTACTTTAATTGATTTAAATTTTTAACTTCTCTGATTATATTACAACAAATCAGTGTATACCAGCAATTTGTTGTGTTCGGATAGTATTATTGTTTGACCATTAATAAAACAGGGAACTCATTTCATTTTAAAAAGGATGGGGTAATTTTTTAATTTCTACAAACATAGGGTTAGCAATAAATAATTTTCCAAAAATGAAAAATAAAAGAGAGTAATTTCTACGGACGAAGACCATGTCAGTGAACTCCAAATATTTTCGTTCTTTCTTTCTTGCTTCTCTCCGTACTGAAAAATTGTCAGATAATCGAAATTTGAGCAACGCGTGAAATCTCACACTCCTCATCCTCTCGAACTCACCCGCAATCTCTTGCATCAGTATTCATGCTTTGATTCACGATTGAGTGGGTTCTGGTATGATCTTCACTTAATTTCGTTGTTTTGTTAAATCAGGTTTATCAATGTAAATGGACGAGTTTCGCTTTTTTTAGAGATGAGTTTTTGCTCTTGTTCATGTCAACTAGGCTGCTGAAGAACTAACATTCATCCATTTCAGACAGAAATTTTACTGCTTTAGCTGATTTTGCACTGATTTTTGGCAATATTCATGTTGATATTGTAAATTTGATGAATTTCGTGGTTCTTAGTTTAATTAAGCTTATTTCACTCATGGTTACAAAAAAATTTAGCGGAAAAATTATTTTATTATACTTGTTACGGTGTTATGCCCGCAATTCTTCGCTGTGGATTGTGTCAAATAACGAATTTGTGCCGTGTTTTTTTCATGGAAGTTGAGTGGGCGTATGTGTAATCGGTTTCCCTTCTTTCAAAACTATCTTAAAAGGTTCTTATGTATATTGAAAGCTGAGTTTTTGATTACGGTCAGTTAATATATTTGGGGTTCAATGGTGTTAATTCTATTAAGCGTTTTGTTATTTGTAAGTAGGATGATGTGCTAACGGTTGGAAGAATTCAGTTGTGTAGGGAGGGGATCGATGGGTGCGCCAAAGCAGAAGTGGACTGCAGAAGAAGAAGCTGCCCTTAAAGCTGGAGTGCTTAAGCATGGGACTGGCAAATGGCGAACTATACTTTCAGATCCCGAGTTTAGCGTTGTTTTGCAGTCACGTTCAAATGTAGATCTGAAGGTATGCAATAATAGAGGTATTCTTCAGTTTTAGAGAAAGGAACTGCATCTTTTCTTTTTTAAGTCAGATGATTTGGTATTTCTCGTTTAATAGCATTTTGTTTGTTGCATCCTTATGCGTCAAAACAGCTCTCTATGCTTAATTTGACACTAATGTTCTACAATGCATTGTGATATAGTAATTTGTGTTATGATTACTATGGATAGGATAAATGGAGAAATATAAATGTCACAGCAATATGGGGATCGAGGCAGAAGGCTAAGCTTGCACTTAAAAAGACTTCACTGACCCCTAAGCATGATGGTCGGACTCTTCTGACCCCTAAACACGATGCTCAGACTCTTCTGACCCCTAAACACGATGCTCAGACTCTGATGATCCTTAAACACAATGCTCAGACTCTTACGACCCCTAAACATGATGCTCAGACTCAGCTGACACCTGAACTTGATAATAATCCCATGGCTTTGAGCACTTTACCTCAGAATCATGAAGAAGTTGTTGATGCTAAGCCTCTAGCAATATCTGGAGGAACATTCCGATCTTCTGGTTCCAAAGAAGCAGTTGCAAGGTTAACATCCTTTACCAATATATAAAACTGCTGTTGCTTTACTATTGAACTTGGTTGTTATGTGCATGGCATGTTGGTCAGAAGTTATTATTATTAAGCTGGGGTTCAATCTTGGAAAAGTATGGAAGTGAATGATCAGTTTACTCCAACAACATTATATTTGTTTCATTGTTCCTACTGATTTCACCACATGTGTGCACTACTGAGCACCCTAAATCTTAAATCATTTACCCAGAATAATCCCCTGAAAAGTTAGATGTTTTGCACAATATCATATTCTGCATAATATTTTTAAGAAATGATCTGGAAAAAAGCAAGTATCTCATTAAATGATAGTGGATGTTTTCAATTGTTTATAGGCCATTAAAGTCTTGGACTATGAGTCATGCTATCCTGCTGTTGCATAATACATGATTATTCACTTACTCTGTTGTTGACTTGTCTGTTTATTGTAGGTTGGACAAACTTATATTAGAGGCAATTGCCAAATTGAAGGAGCCAAATGGTTCTGACAGGGCTTCAATTGCTAATTACATAGAGGTATTCAACCTGTGCATGAATTCTGCAAACCTTTTATGTTTATAGAAAAATACTAAACTAATTAAAGTGCAGGACAAATATTAGTGATTATAATTGTGAAGATTTTCTCTTCAATTTCCTTCTTGAAAAGATCTTCTCCATTCTACCATTTCTTTTCTTAATTGGTTACTTATCCAGAAAAAGAGATATTGCAAAAGATTTCCCTACAACAGGATTACTGATGCTACCTACGTAGAACCATTGTAAGATTGAAATTTTTTTCTCTGCAATTCTTTTGAATATATATTTAAAGGGTCTTGATTGCTTGCTTATTCATTATCATGTTACTATTTCCAACTAGCTAAGACTGAAAACTCTGGTAAATGTTAATAGCAATAACATACTGCTTTTGAGACTGTTAAACGTTAACAAAATATTCATCAAATTTCATGCAATTTTGTTGATTTGTCAGAGTTGTCGGAGTTGTTAGAATATCACTCATTCAATGATCAATTTAGAGTGGTATGCAAGGAAATGTCTGGAAGTTGCTTACATGTATAAATTATCGTTTTTGAATATTTTGATTTGGTTTTGACATTGTTAATTTTCTTTTGCAGAAGCAATACTGTGCGCCTGAAAACCTCAGAAAGCTATTAGCAACAAAATTAAAGCTTATGACAGCAAATGGCTCATTGATGAAGGTAATCACCTGGTCAAGTACTAGATGAAAACTGATAATCCGATCATGCACATTAATTGTAAGTTCCATGGCCTTGAATATGGTGAAATTGTAGTTCACATTAATTGATCAAGGTAATCACTCAGCCAACTTAGTTAAAAACTGATATGCACATGACTTTCATTGATCGTAACATCCATGGACTCCAAGCTGATGAAATTATGGTTGATATCTATTTTTTCCAAGGTATTACGGAAGGTCTATAATGTATGAGTGAATTTACTTACCCTGAATTTTTCCCAACCATGAGTCCAATAATGATAGATAACTCAAGAAGTGCCTGCATAAAATGGTTTGAAATATTTTGATGACATGCTTAAAACGGATAATACTGATTGTAAACTGTTGAGAAACAGAGGGTGAAAAGACGGAAATCACCCAGAAAGATTCATTTTTACTGTTCTCATGGATTCATTTAAATGTTGATTTAGTTGTTCCAATTTGGATTTGTATACATGGCAGGAAGTGAAAATACATATCAGCTTAAGATCAAAAAAAGTAGGGAGATATATACCGAAAAGAAACTAAGCGCAATAAATGTAATTTGGGATTATATGATTTTTATGATCTTCTTTCAACAGGTAAAGCATAAGTACAGTATTGCACCCAGTGCAGCAGCTTCTATAGCTAAAAGGTCTCCCAAGTTACTCCTGGAGGGAAGGCAAAAGGTTTCGCCCAAGCCACATAAAAAAGACATCACCATTCTTACCAAGTCCCAGGTTGAAGCTGATCTATCAAGGATGAGGGGCATGACAGCACAGGAGGCTGCTGCCGCTGCTGCACAGGCTATAGCAGAGGCAGAAGTCGCAATTGCAGAGGCTGAAGAGGCTGCTAGGGAGGCTGAGAAAGCAGAAGCTGAAGCAGAAGCAGCACAAGTTTTTGCGAAAGCAGCAATGAAGGCACTGAAATGTAGGACACTTCGTGCCTGGTGAAGTCCTTCAGCTTTTGCAATCGTAAGTACTTTATCTGAAAACTATCTATGTATAATAATAAATGCACAAGCCATCTTTGGAGGATGCTGACCCCTTGCTTGGACTCTCAGGTAATTAATGTAGTGAGTACTTTGATAGGCGTTGGTGTTGATTTGGGCAGAGTCTCATTAGTTTATGCTTTACTTGGTATACAATTTTGCACGCGTAAATGAATCTTTTCAAAATCTTTTGGTTTCAACTATAGAATTTTTTATTCACTTTCATCATCTCTGGGAGCCTATAGGTAGCCCTGTTTCTCCATCATTGGGACTGATTCTAAAAGTAAAACTCTTTCATATTTACAGTGATCGCAGATTTTCCATTTTAACCTGTAAGCTGTTAAGTGTAGCCATCTCAAATGTTTGGAAAAATCCCTCTATGATGCGTCCTTCTCTGATACATTTGACTTTCAAACCTAGAGCCAAGAAAGATAAAAGCCTTCTACAATGCATTGTGATATAGTAATTTGTGTTATGATTACTATGGATAGGATAAATGGAGAAATATAAATGTCACAGCAATATGGGGATCGAGGCAGAAGGCTAAGCTTGCACTTAAAAAGACTTCACTGACCCCTAAGCATGATGGTCGGACTCTTCTGACCCCTAAACACGATGCTCAGACTCTTTTGACCCCTAAACACGATGCTCAGACTCTGATGATCCTTAAACACAATGCTCAGACTCTTACGACCCCTAAACATGATGCTCAGACTCAGCTGACACCTGAACTTGATAATAATCCCATGGCTTTGAGCACTTTACCTCAGAATCATGAAGAAGTTGTTGATGCTAAGCCTCTAGCAATATCTGGAGGAACATTCCGATCTTCTGGTTCCAAAGAAGCAGTTGCAAGGTTAACATCCTTTACCAATATATAAAACTGCTGTTGCTTTACTATTGAACTTGGTTGTTATGTGCATGGCATGTTGGTCAGAAGTTATTATTATTAAGCTGGGGTTCAATCTTGGAAAAGTATGGAAGTGAATGATCAGTTTACTCCAACAACATTATATTTGTTTCATTGTTCCTACTGATTTCACCACATGTGTGCACTACTGAGCACCCTAAATCTTAAATCATTTACCCAGAATAATCCCCTGAAAAGTTAGATGTTTTGCACAATATCATATTCTGCATAATATTTTTAAGAAATGATCTGGAAAAAAGCAAGTATCTCATTAAATGATAGTGGATGTTTTCAATTGTTTATAGGCCATTAAAGTCTTGGACTATGAGTCATGTTATCCTGCTGTTGCATAATACATGATTATTCACTTACTCTGTTGTTGACTTGTCTGTTTATTGTAGGTTGGACAAACTTATATTAGAGGCAATTGCCAAATTGAAGGAGCCAAATGGTTCTGACAGGGCTTCAATTGCTAATTACATAGAGGTATTCAACCTGTGCATGAATTCTGCAAAACTTTTATGTTTATAGACAAATACTAAACTAATTAAAGTGCAGGACAAATATTAGTGATTATAATTGTGAAGATTTTCTCTTCAATTCCCTTCTTGAAAAGATCTTCTCCATTCTACCATTTCTTTTCTTAATTGGTTACTTATCCAGAAAAAGAGATATTGCAAAAGATTTCCCTACAACAGGATTACTGATGCTACCTACGTAGAACCATTGTAAGATTGAAATTTTTTTCTCTGCAATTCTTTTGAATATATATTTAAAGGGTCTTGATTGCTTGCTTATTCATTATCATGTTACTATTTCCAACTAGCTAAGACTGAAAACTCTGGTAAATGTTAATAGCAATAACATACTGCTTTTGAGACTGTTAAACGTTAACAAAATATTCATCAAATTTCATGCAATTTTGTTGATTTGTCAGAGTTGTCGGAGTTGTTAGAATATCACTCATTCAATGATCAATTTAGAGTGGTATGCAAGGAAATGTCTGGAAGTTGCTTACATGTATAAATTATCGTTTTTGAATATTTTGATTTGGTTTTGACATTGTTAATTTTCTTTTGCAGAAGCAATACTGTGCGCCTGAAAACCTCAGAAAGCTATTAGCAACAAAATTAAAGCTTATGACAGCAAATGGCTCATTGATGAAGGTAATCACCTGGTCAAGTACTAGATGAAAACTGATAATCCGATCATGCACATTAATTGTAAGTTCCATGGCCTTGAATATGGTGAAATTGTAGTTCACATTAATTGATCAAGGTAATCACTCAGCCAACTTAGTTAAAAACTGATATGCACATGACTTTCATTGATCGTAACATCCATGGACTCCAAGCTGATGAAATTATGGTTGATATCTATTTTTTCCAAGGTATTACGGAAGGTCTATAATGTATGAGTGAATTTACTTACCCTGAATTTTTCCCAACCATGAGTCCAATAATGATAGATAACTCAAGAAGTGCCTGCATAAAATGGTTTGAAATATTTTGATGACATGCTTAAAACGGATAATACTGATTGTAAACTGTTGAGAAACAGAGGGTGAAAAGACGGAAATCACCCAGAAAGATTCATTTTTACTGTTCTCATGGATTCATTTAAATGTTGATTTAGTTGTTCCAATTTGGATTTGTATACATGGCAGGAAGTGAAAATACATATCAGCTTAAGATCAAAAAAAGTAGGGAGATATATACCGAAAAGAAACTAAGCGCAATAAATGTGATTTGGGATTATATGATTTTTATGATCTTCTTTCAACAGGTAAAGCATAAGTACAGTATTGCACCCAGTGCAGCAGCTTCTATAGCTAAAAGGTCTCCCAAGTTACTCCTGGAGGGAAGGCAAAAGGTTTCGCCCAAGCCACATAAAAAAGACATCACCATTCTTACCAAGTCCCAGGTTGAAGCTGATCTATCAAGGATGAGGGGCATGACAGCACAGGAGGCTGCTGCCGCTGCTGCACAGGCTATAGCAGAGGCAGAAGTCGCAATTGCAGAGGCTGAAGAGGCCGCTAGGGAGGCTGAGAAAGCAGAAGCTGAAGCTGAAGCAGCACAAGTTTTTGCGAAAGCAGCAATGAAGGCACTGAAATGTAGGACACTTCGTGCCTGGTGAAGTCCTTCAGCTGTTGCAATCGTAAGTACTTTATCTAAAAACTATCTATGTATAATAATAAATGCACAAGCCATCTTTGGAGGATGCTGACCCCTTGCTTGGACTCCCAGGTAATTAATATAGTGAGTACTTTGAGAGGCGTTGGTGTTGATTTGGGCAGAGTCTCATTAGTTTAAGCTTTACTTGGTATACAATTTTGCACGCGTAAATGAATCTTTTCAAAATCTTTTGGTTTCAGCTACAGAATTTTTTATTCACTTTCATCATCTCTGGGAGCCTATAGGTAGCCCTGTTTCTCCATCATTGGGACTGATTCTAAAAGTAAAACTCTTTCATATTTACAGTGATCGCAGATTTTCCATTTTAACCTGTAAGCTGTTAAGTGTAGCCATCTCAAATGTTTGGAAAAATCCCTCTATGATGCGTCCTTCTCTGATACATTTGACTTTCAAACCTAGAGCCAAGAAAGATAACATGTATCCGCAGGTCATTTCTGACATCCGTCTATTTCATATTTTTAAAAACAGTATGTGATATTTTAACTATTCTGATTCCCCTGTTTTCATTTGTTGAAGATAGTAAAGTTTTGATGCAACATGCAATGTTGTAGGTTACTGAATATTCGTCCTATTTTCGGTTTTAATAGTTGTCAATCTTATTGATATCTTTCAAACTTGTGCAGATGACTTGATAAATAAATGGATTTGTAGAGAGATAAGTGTGGAACTGAAATATCGTACTGAAAAGTGAAAACATCATTCGGGTTCAACGTCTATTGCCATAGTGCCTATGTGATGTATAAAGTTAGGCTTGTAAATCCAGATATTAAATAACAGACGTGAAAGATACAAAATCAATATCTGGTGCCGAGCTAGATATATAATCCAACTCTTTTCCTTATTTTATTTGATGATGGGTTAAACCATGATAAAAAGAACAACTGCATTTGACTAGCGGGGCTTAGTGGCAATATTGCTTTATTATTCAATGGTGGTGCGATTTAGGCCACTGTTTTTTCGTCCCTTGTTGCTTCATATGCGGGTGTTCACTGGAAAAACGGATAGAAACCATGTGGTAACACTTGGAAAATATATGCAAGAATTACCTTAGTCTGTCTCGATCGTTCCTTGATTATGAAGTGATGAATAGGAAATCATTCATTCTTTCTAGGCCTTCTCGCGGCAAGCTATCAGAAAATTTATGAATTGACGCTGCAAAATTCGAGTTTTTTTGTGAGTTTGCTCGCAACAAAGTGTGGTGAAAACAACTAAGAAGTGCGTAGCCAAAAGTTTCAAAAACAACTCCCTACACCTACTTACCTACGTATGCCCACTCGCACTCCCAATTTCATAATATGTTTTTATGTAATTATGTATGTTTCAATTCTTTATTCTTATTAATTAGGCACAAATTGTATAAGATTGAAAGTAGAAAGCCTACCAGTACACCGAAGAAGCTGAAGCGCTTAAATAAGACAACATCTACATCTAGTATGCAACTAAAGCCAACCAAGAAACGTCACACAAGACAAGAAAAATTTGATTGGGGTGCAAGGATCCAGTGGACTGAAACTGAAATTAAGCAACTGTTAGTCACCTCATTAACTGAAAGTGTCCCTCACCATGCCCAAACTAATATAAACATATATTGATCTTTTTAAGGCACACTTTTGAGATAGGGTTTAAATGAAGCATTAATATAGCCTGTCTTCGTGCGCCAATCCCTTTTCAGCTTGGGGTTACATTGCCCAACAAAGATTCAAACCAAGCAACTCACCGCAATGCAATATAGCAATACTCCCTCTAGAAATTTGTTAGTCACTTAAACTCATGAAAAACAAAAACAAAAAAGATTTTAACTTTCAAATTCAGTTCTCTTATTCTTCCCCAGCATTTACATACAGACTTCAATCAAATTGGCATCAGCCAAGTGCAATCTTTTAGTTCCAGATAATAAAAACTGATGAAAACTTACGCAATGACATCCTCAAGGCGGAATCAATCTTATTTCTAGATTAAACTCAAATCCTGATGAATCTATTAACAGGATGGCTTTTACATTCTGAAAGTCATGCCCCCTTTTAATTACCAAGGTATTCAACATTATTGCAATTACAAAGTATCCAACATCAGCACAGTTAAAGAATACAATCAAAGCATCAAATACCTAATATTACACAAGAATTCAAAAGCAACCCCTCACCAAAACTACGTACCAAGGTAACCAGGGAAAACATTTTCCAGAAACAGAGCTTTCAACTGAAAAACAAAACCCCAGCAATAATTATATACGCCAAACTTCTCCTTAAGTGTTCATTTGAAACTAAAAGAAGCCACTATCTCCTCTTTAAGTGTTCATTAAGAAACCACTTCAAAAGGTAATTACTGAGCACATTAATCACATACTAACCCAAATTTAGCTACCAATGGAACTTAGTACCCATTTAATAAAACTCAACCTCGAAACTCCTCCCAAATTTTCATTTGTCTTGACACTAAACGACTCTAAAAGCACGTTAATCAAATAAATAAACACCAAAATTCAGCTACTACTCTAAACCAACAAAAACGTCAGCAACAAATTCCATTTCCAAAGAGAAGTAATTTTCCACTTTTCTTTCTTTTTTTTTTTTTTTGGGTATCATTAAGATGATCAATGATTATTCTACATCAAAACCAAAAATCACATTCAACCAAAAATAAACAATTCATTCCAATACCACAGTAGCGCCCAGCTCTTTGAGTTTCTGAGCGATCGAATCGGCCTCTTCTTTGGTGGCTCCTTTCTTGACAACAACAGGCACTTTCTCCACCATATCTTTAGCTTCTTTTAAACCCAAATCTGTGAACGTTCTCACCTCTTTTATAATCTTGATTTTAGCAGATGCATCGAACTTCTCAAGTTTTACATCAAACACCGTCTTCTCCGCGGCGGCCTTGGCCTCCGGTGGGCCGGATCCAGCGGCTGCCGCTCCGGCCGAGCTAGGCCCGGAAAGAGCTGGACCGTAACGGTTGAGACCCATTTTGTGACGGAACAAGATTGAGTAGTCATATCGTTCAAGCTTTGTGAGGTCCAGAAGTTCGTCGGCGATACGTTCGAGCTTCTGGGTTCGGGTTTCGGTGGTGGTAGATAAAGAACGAGAAAGGGTAATTGGTTGGGTTAGTTTTAGAGTGGTCATGAATCTGGTGAGGGACTTGTAGGGAATTTTCGTGGTTACTGAGGACATTTTTGAGGAAGGAGAGAGTTTCGACTTTCGAGTGGTGCGTTTGTTCTTGTTTTAGTGTAGCTAGATTTAATGGTGGTAGCTCTTTAAACACGAGTTGAGGAGAGGGTTTTGTTTATTCTTTGTTAGGGTTTAGGGATAGAGGGAAGTAGAAAGCAATATTGACAAATATTTTGTTTAATTCTGATGATGTTTCTAAAGTTTTAACTATGCAATATAGGTGGGTGCATAATTTTATTTGAAATTTTTTGGGGTTCAAAAGAGTTTTAGTGAGGCTTCAATAATAACACTCTTAATCCTGCAACTCCAATGAAAAATGTTCGGCTTAAAATAAAAATTAATGGACGAGAATTTGATCACATTAAACTTATCAAAAGATTTTCCTTCTCCTACAAATGCGACTCAAAGTTGATATCAAGTTCTTACAATATCAGAAGATATATATTGATATATTTAACTAATTTTTTTTATCTTGATTAGGAATTTGCAATAACTAAAGGAGTGGTACAAGGAGCTAGTTTATACCTATGATCCATTACTATACATCAATACATCTTTTACAAACATAAATTATGCTATTTCATCAAATATCTTTGGGATGGCCATTTAAGGTTGCAGTTGCATTCACCCAAATGAAGTGAGTAGTGATTTGCACTCACTTCTTCTGCCCAAGTTCAAAGGGAAAGCAGATCCCATCTTTATTTTGGCTTTCCTTCCATGCTTCTAGTATTTCATTTGCATTAGGCAGCTCCAAACCATGGGAATCATCAACTTTGTTTCTTGGCATTTCAAGTTCTATCTCATCAATTTCTCTGGAATGTCCATTAAGATACAGATTTGAGAGCTCGTTATCCAAGTACACACCAGATGCTGCATCATCAGCAAAACTGTCCAGGCTAATGCATGCGCTAGATAGTTGGTTATTGCTACAACTGAGAGTAGGTGGCTTTGACACCACATCTGTATCATCATCCTCCCAATCCTTTCTGGAGTGGTTAATAGAACATGTATCAGATGCAACCTCAGTCCTGCGGGCAAGAGGTTCTGCACCCATGTTGGCAATTCCAACCTTCATACTTACGGCTGAACTTGGAACATTTTCTGTATTGTTGAAATCAAATCCGCCATTGTTGCCATCCGAGGGTGAAATATCTGTGGCCTTGCTGCCACAATGGGTGGAACTTGACAAGTCTCTCTCTTTGCTTGATACACAAAGCGCATGCAATGATCTTGACAAATTTGAGACAGTGACTTCAGATGCTACATTGCAATTACTGAGAGCATTCAACAATTTCTCTAAACTTTCCTGATTAATCCTGTCTCCATTTTTCTCGAAAAGGTCTTTCCACTGTCTTTCACTGACTTGGAACGGTGCAAGAGCCATGGTGTTGACAAGGGTGACAGCTTTCTCATAATTATTTTGAGCAGTAGCTTGAATTAACATTTCAGTGAAGAGCATTTGATGAGGAATTTCTCCACCTTCCAAAAGTATGTCAAAAGCATGCTCTAGGAGATACCACTACATTCAAAAGAAAACAAGCTTAGTTACAATTCTCCATTCCTCTTTGAGCACATCCAATAACATATATGATGAGAACACTGACTGATAATGTGAAAATACTAAAGAAACATTAAGCTATTTAGCCTGTTAAAACTGTTTTTCTCTAAAATGATAATGCTTAAGTATTTAGCGGCTGCCTCCCAGCAGTTTCCACTGCAGTTAACAATGACAAATTGGAATAAAATTAATAGAATTTCTGAATTTGATCATTAAATTAAACAAAAAAACGATACCATGATAGTAAAAAAGTTCTTGATATTTCCAAATATCTGTTCGTGAGGAAATTCACAGCATAATTAATGCAACCAGAGAAAGAAATCAAGAGATATATTTTCCTTTTCTTTTTGGTGCCAGGTCGTATAGAGTTTCATCATTTTAGAAAAGGGCCCTAACAGATCTAGTACAATTACTATTTCAACCAGAAAGAAGAAAAAATACAATTTGAAGTAGAAAGAAGACAAAACTTACTTTCCCAGCTCTGGATGCTTCAACTAGTAGCCATGCATTTTTTGTTTGATCTAACTGATACCCAGAGAGAGCCATTCCCTTGTACACATATTCAAAGTATTCCCATTGGTGTGCACTAGCAGATGCCTCAAGCATTAAGCTATAAGTGTAATTGTCTGGTTTAAGGGAAGTTGCATTACTACCAGGAGTGTAACGACCAGAGTTAGTTCTCATAGTTTCTTCAAATAACTCTTTAGCTTCAGAAAACATATCATTCCGGCCATAAACTTTAAGCATGGTATTTACAGTCCCTATATTGGGTTCACAATGCTCTTTCATATGTTCATATATAGATATGCAGTCATCAACATATCCTCCATCCAAGGAAGACATTATCAGGCCAGTGAAGGTAACCTCTAGAGGTTTTCTATGACGAAGTTTTTTCATCTTCTCCACCTGCAGGCATGTCTTAGAATTAGAGAAAGTTGTACGTCTCAGATCTACTGTCAATATCAAGTACACAATGCATATAGAGGCCACAATATGACAGTTGGATGAAAAAAATTTAACCCAGCAAGTAAAATGAATCAGTAAGTGTTACTTCTGACAGTTACCATGGCATTCATTGTCACTTTTATGCATGTTTAGCATAAGTAGAAGATAAAAACCATCAATGTCAAACTGAATCATCTACTTGAATCATCAATCAGACAGGCACATTCTTTCTCAATGAAATAATGTATGGGTAATGCTACATATACAAAGTTGGAATTCCCACTTTTATGCATGTTTAGCATAAGTAGAAGATAAAAACCATCAATGTCAAACTGAATCATCAATCAGACAGGCACATTCTTTCTCAATGAAATAATGTATGTGTAGCATTACTGATAATGTATTTCATTTCAATTGTTCACATTTATTAAGGTCCAGCATCAGTAGAACATGTGTAAACCACCAACAACACAAATAACCAAATGACAGGCAACACCAGGATGACTCTCGTTCCACATGGTTCCTACATGTCTGCCAATAAAAGAAACATGCTACAATTATAGTCGTTTCTGTACCATAAATTTCTGTAAGTAGTACTGAAAATAACACTAATGATAACTGTGGTATTCAGTGCTGGAAATTTCACTAAAATAATAACTCTTCCAATTCTTACCCCAGAGCTTTTTGCTTCCCTTTGGGTCCCTTCAAAGGAATTCCAAGACATCTCATTCTTTTTTATTCATCTTGGGAAGAGGTTTTAGGGTTGTACTGGCTACAGGGGTCTTTTTGTCATAGGTGTACAGACAGCTATGGAAATTCTGTATATCATTTTACTTTGTTTTTGTTCTAATTGGTCCACATGGTTTAACCTCTCTTTTTATTAATATAATATATGTTCATCATTCTTATAAAAAAAAGATGAGACCAGAATATCATGCTTAACAAAAGCAGTTACAAAAATAAGCTTACAAGATTACTAATAACAGCTGGCATCTATTTAAATCGGGCAGGACATACAGCATCCAAACAAATAGCTTGTAATTCAAATATTGATGATATATGCGTATCTGATATAAGGGGTAAAAATCACTAACCTCCCAAGCTTTATTTGAAATCATCACCTAAATGGCAACTATTGCCATATTAATCAAACTCCCTCCAGAACTATTAAAAAAATGAATCACTCAGACCCCCAAATGTCAACTCTGTTAGATTTCTGTTAGGTTTTAAAGGGCAAAATTGTCATTTAGCACTTTTAACTTAAAACAAAACTTAACTTAATTCAAGTCAGACCCTTAACTTAAACCTTCTTTCCTTTTAGCCCCAGAAGCTCCACCCAAACCCATCACTTTCAAATTCTTTCACTTCCACCCCCACCTTTCCCAACAACTCACCCAACTATCACACAAACACAACCTCCATCACCTGCATCTAATGCCTTAACAAACACAAACACTGCAATATCGCCACCTCTAGAGGCCAAGGCGGCCTCAATCGCAAGTCCAAGGAGGCCTCAAGCTGGGCCAAGGCAACAACTAAATCAATGGAGGAGGCGGCGACCTCACGAAAGAGGCCAAGACAGCTTCAAGCACTAGGTTGTCGCCACCTTGCAAAGCCACCGCCTTAGTTGAGGCCACCACTGCGAGATAGAATGTAAGGAAGGTGGAGGTTGGCAAGGGGTTAGGATTTGGATTTGGGGCATTTGGTAATTTCAGTAAATTTTAGGGTATTTTGATAATTATAATAGATACAAATTGGTAAAATTGTTGTTAAATTTCACTTTGGGGTAAAATGAGAAATGTTTACTTAAAACCTAACAGAAGTCTAACAGAGTTGGCAATGGGGGATCTAAGTGTTGCATTTTTCAACAGTTATGGAGGGGGTTTGATTAAATGGCAATAGTTGCCATCTGAGTGTGATTTCCAATAAAACTGGGGAGGTTAGTGATTTTTGCCCGAGTATAATTAGTGTGATTTCTACCAGAAGAACAACTCCTTTTTTTTCTAGCTGAGAAAATGAAGAAACAAAAGAAATAAAGAAAGAGGACTGCTCTGAATTATACATGAAAAAAATCAGATTAAAAAGGAAAAGGAAAGCAATACTAGATTATGTAATTGATGCCAGAGTAATATTCATAACTAGAGTCCTTCATGAGTATCAGGGAAACCAAATAACAATCACAATAAAACCAAGCTCCGCAGAAAGACAAAGAAACTCACCACAACCATAGCCTCTTGCCACCTCCCACTATTGCAAAGGCAGCAAGCAAGCTCATAGTACACACTGGCAGTTCCAACAACTCCCCTTTGTTCCATATCCCTTACTACTTCCACAGCTTCATTAATTTTACCTTCCTCCCAAAAAGCTTTGACAAGAACTGGAAAAACACAAATTAAACTGGTATGAGCAACCCAACATCAGTGACTGTTAGAGAAAAGGAAGACAGAAAGCTACCTCTATAAGTAAGTGCCCTTAGGCCCTCTCCGCTTTTCTTCATTTTCCTAAAGAACTCGTGGAC